TAGGTCCTAGATTAGGTCTTATTTGGACTTGGTTTAGACCTGGTTTAGCGCTTGGTTTAGGTACTGGTTTAGACCTGGTTTAGAGCCTGGTTTAGACCTGGTTTAGTCCTGGTTTAGACCTGGTTTAGTCCTCCCTCAGCCTTTGTTTGCATCTTTTATTTTGCTTCATAAATCCTGAGTTTCCTCCTCCTCCTCAGATCACTCGTGCCTCCATCGACGCTCTGAAGAACTGGTTCAGAGACGAGATGCAGAAGTCGGACTGGCAGCTCATCGTCGAACTCAAGAAAACCTTCGAGATCATCTGAACATTTTACCACCAAAAAAATATATAAAAAAACCGAAAACACAGAAATTTCACAAAATCCTTCGCTGCCTGAACGCAACGCGGCGACTTTCTGTGAGACTGACCACAACAGTATCCAAACGTGCCTGCTCCAACTACAACTCTGTCACTCACTCCTCTCTCCGCTCTGATTGGCTGCCTCCTGGCTCTTGTCCCGCCTCCAGGAAGCAGTCGGTGGGGGGGGTAAATAAGAAAAAGGAAGGCTGCCGCATCCAGGTGCATTGTGGGATTGGATCACGTGAATTGAAACGAACGCAGTGTTTTGAAAGAGGAAGAGCGAGGGAGGGAGAGGATGTCTTCTGGATTTTTGCACCAAATGGACTTAGCGATGGCGACGATGTTTGCGGATTTTAACTGTTCTGCTGCAGAGGCTGTAAAGAATAAATAATAAAATTCCTGTGATTCTGATAAAATGTTATTTGCGTTTTTAGTCACTGTAAAATTCTGTGTCACAAAAATAAAGTACTTTAATTGCCGTATTTTAAATCTAGGTTTAGGAGCATAAACATTTGAGAAGAATGAAATCTGAACTGATCAATCCATGTGTGTCAGATGCCCTCCCATCCTCCTATATTATATAAAAGTGCACTGTGTAACATTTCTGGAGAAGGGTCCACCACCTGCTCGTCTCCACAGGTGTTATTGCTTTGATTGGGAGGTTCCTTTGTATGGCGTTAAACATTTATTAAAGTGTTTTTAGGGTAAATAAAATCCTTTGCACAGATTTTCTTCATGGAGATTGAGAAGTTTAATGCCATACTCAAGTGTCGTAGTAACTGAGACTTAGTGCTTCTGCTCAAGGTCATTTCTCTCCAGCAACTAGGTCAGAAATCAGAATACACTAGACGGTTCGCAAAAACCCCAGAAGTGCGAGTTCGGGCACCAGCCAATCAGCAAAGAGCCGTACATTCTGTGTTGGCAACGATTCCCGAGATCGAGGATTTAAAGCCGGAACAAAGAGAATGTTTGAATTTTATCAAACGGAAAGACGTTATTGTCCTTTGGGAAAAGCTTAATATATCAGTTAGCTCCGTTAGCGGCGCATTAAATAAGTCATGACCAAACAGCAGCGATTGGTTAAATAAAAAAAGTACCCGCCTACAGTCGAGTGAATGAATCTTAACGCTGCGAGGTCAGACAGTTTCCACGAAGCGGCTGATGAATTGGGCTACTCAAGACCGCTTTTTTACAGTCTTGGTCTCGTCTCGGTCTTGAGCACATTTGGTTTCGGTTTTGTCTCCGTCTTGATGGCGCTTGGCCTCCGTCTTGTCATATTTCATTACATCTGGTAAATGTGCAGAGGCTGTTAAATATCGCTGCAAAACCAGTAAGAAAATGTAACTGTAAATGTTATGAACTTGAAAAAACTCACTTGTTTGACTTTGAAGTTGTTTTCTGTAAAGCACCAGTGGAAGCAGGATCAAAGAAGCGGTGCTGAAACTGTGGGTGAGTCCAAAAAAGGAGCGCAGAGTGTTTAAGTGTAGCACAATTTGCATGGCCTATTTTAAGTCTAAATGAACATTAACCAGATGAGATAGATTTATAAAAATATATATGTGTGTGTGTGTGTGTGTGTGCCAAAATAAGTAATATACAAATAAATGACAAAGATGATCTTGATTTGGTCTCAATGGGCCTTGATCTCCGTTAGTATGGTCTTCACTACAACACTACCGTACTGTGAAACATTCATGGCAAACATGTCTCCATGGATACAAAATTGATGGTGGACCTTCACCAGAGAAGTTGCATTGTGCATCTTTAATGACACCAGTATGCCTCTATATTAATCCACCTGTATTTAGTGCTGGGAGCAAAATGAAAACTCCTCTGTTGTGTTGTGAGCATTAACAGGTATTTGGACTGAAAAAAGAAGAGAAAACATAAAAGTAGGAAATGAATTATGTTGCTGTGGCAATATGAAATTATTTTATGAACATTTATTTCTTGTACTTTATCCCCATATGGTTTACTTTATTTACTTATTCTCAGGAAATTTGTAAAACATTTTCTTTTTTTCAGCTTAATTTTGTGTTCATGTGTGAGTTTAGATCAGTGACCGTTGCTTGACAGTTGACAGTGAATCAGCTCCACCCACAGGTGAGCAGAGAAACAGGTTTTGGGTTTCAACGATTCCAAAAAAGACATTTGTCACTGGGAGAGGCTGCATCAGTCTGCAGAGTGAACGAGAGTCTCTGTTCAAATCTAAAGGAAGAGATTATATTTGTGTTTAGTTCATCATGGCCGAGGCTCCTCTGGACTCGTCGGACTGTCTTTTGTGTTCTGAGGAGTTGAAGGATCCAGTGACTTTGGGCTGTGATCACCGCTTCTGTTACACGTGTCTGCAGGAGCACTGGGCCCCGAACAGGACCGGGGACTGTCCCAAATGCAGACGGAGGGTTTCTAAAGGGCTGATGGTTGAGTTTGCGCTGCAGGAGAAGAGAGAATCTACTCAGAGACAAACGGACAGTTCAGAGGAGCAGACGGGAGGGGAGCAGGAGGAGGTGAGGAGGAAACTCCCTGAGGATATTTTGTTTGTGTCAGACAAACCCAAAGTGTCGTCACAGACACAGGCCTCTGCAGAGGACGAACTTCAGTCTGAAATCCAGAGACTTGTGCAAAAGAAAGAGCACAGTGAGAATATAAAGAAACAATATGAGGACATGTTACAGCACACAGAGAGACAGACACAGCGCTGTGAGGACGAGATCAGGAAACGGTTCAACCTTCTCCGCCAGATTCTTGATCAAGAGGAGGAGCAGCGTCTGTACGAGCTCAGACAGGAGCAGGAGGAAAAGACTCGGAGGATCCAACAGAAGCTGAGGGACACTGAGGCTAAACTGGCCTCTCTGTCTGACAGTATTAAGTCTGCAGAGCAGCAGCTGCAGAGTCAGAGCTCTGCTCCTCTCACAGAAATCAGGGACCCTCTGGTCCTGACAGAAGAACCAGACCCCCCAGCACCAGGACCTGGACTCCTGATCAATGAGGGCAGAGTCCTCAAGAACCTGGAAAATTCAGTGAGGGACAAGATGAGGACAATGATGAATGCCAGCCTCAGCCCTGAGTTTCTTCTGGACCCAAACACTGCCCACAGAAATCTGCTTGTGTCTGAGGATCTGACCAGAGTCAAACACACAGAGACTCCAGACCCAAATGTCCTTCTGAATCCAGAGAGATTCAGGTCTTACACCAGTGTCCTGGGCTCAGAGGGTTTCAGCTCTGGGTGTTGGAGCTGGGAGGTGGAGGTGGGAGATCATCCTGAGTGGACCATAGGTTTGGTCAAAGAGTCTGTGGACAGAACAGCTGAACTGGAGACTTTACCAGAGAATGGATTCTGGTGTTTAAAGCATCACGAGAATAAATACTACAACATTACTGGTGAAACACTGACACTGAGAAAACGTCCTCACAAAATCACAGTTCAGTTGTTCTATGGAGTAGGACAAGAAGTTTCCTTCTATGACGGCTGGTGTGTAATCTGCTCCCACATAGACACTTTCACTGAGAAACTCTTTCCTTATTTTTATGTGGGACCTAAAGGGGGCGCTAAAGACATTAAAATAAGTAATATCTATTCTGAATTCCTATCACCATCACTGAACGTCAAAGGTCATAGGAGTGTTTTGAAGCCTCAGAAGGGGCTCTCAAGAGCCCAGTCTTCCACAATATCTTCAGTCTTCTTCCCTTACGACAGTTTCAGGAGGTCAGAGAGCTCTTCTTTAAGAGACCTAAACAGAAAACTCCAACTGCACCAGAATCCTCAATAAAACCTGAGGAAACATCAAGTGAGTCAAGTGAGTCAAGTGAGTGAAGTGAGTGAAGTGAGTGACGTGTGAGATCAGGTTGGTCAAATCGGCAACAATTGTACTAAGAGTTACAGTAAAATAATGTTACTAAAGTTAAAATTATTGGTCCAAGAGTAAAAATCATTTGGGAAAACTATAATAAAGTTAATGAAGCAGAAAACATAAAAAATAATGCACATTGATATTTTCAAAGGATTGAACAAAAATGGAACAAACAAAATCATATGTGAAGAAGCGCTGCAAGAAACACAAATGTTCAAATCATTTCTTACTGACATAGGTGTGAATTCATTTCTGCAAATTAAAGTATAATTTTCTTTCTACCGCTTTACCATAATCATTAAGTTGTTATATTGTGAGCTTCATGTTGTTACTTTGCTGTTTTATCTGTTTTCTTTATGCATTGTGCTTAAAATGTTTTACTTTTTGTGAATGTATTTATTTAAAAATAGTATATTAATATTTTAATTGTGAGATATTCAGTGTCTTTGTTCTGGAAAATCCTTGGCTGGACGTCACTGCAGACAAACACTTTCATTTACAAAACTATATTGTCAAATCTTCCACAGTATCTCACCTCCCTGATTTAATTCAGTTCAGTTCTGTTCATGACCAAACCAGGTTCAGGAGAGACTGAGCTCAGCAGCGCCACAAATCTACACAGAGCGAGGGAAAAACTGCTCTGATTATTTGCTCCTCATTTATGGAACAGTGTCATAAACCGACTCAAACTAAACAGTGTCATTTCCTTAAGTGTTTTTAAACGCACTATACCTGTCATCTTTTCACACCGTTATAATTATTTTGACTCAACGCCTCGTGGAAAACAGGTTCAACAAATATTTAAATGTACATTTCATTTTGCATTTTATTCGTTGTAAATGTTTGATGTTTTTAAAAGTTTGTACTCAGAACTCCCTTGAGAATGAGAGGACACTTCTGCACCACTGAACTACGACTGTTCTTTTAATCAACATCACAAACATTTAAATTAAAGTCTGTTTTTAATCCAACACTGTCACTTTGGTTTGATTTTTCCCAATGTAAAAAGAAACACATTATCATTTGAATTCACAAAACATTAGACCTGAGTTGTTTTTACTTTGCTGAATAATCCACAGTGTGACTTGACGTCTGTGTGTCTCTATCTGTCTCCATGGAAACAAGAAAGTGGTGCGATCAGGCCAAGTTACAGGTCAGAACTGTGGAGAGGCGAGCCCACACAAAAAGACATGTTTTTTTTTCTTTGCAATAAAAACACCTGAAAAAAATGCAAGAAGCACAATTTAATTTTGTGGAACGTTCCAGGCCCCAGCAGAGAGTTTACACAATGTAGAGAATAAATACAACAAAATAAACTTCATTTGACTTCAATCTGTAAAACTTAAAGGTCCTAAATTACACAAAACTGACTCTTGAGAGCTTTAAATTGCGTTATTATTATGTTGTTATTATGTTAGTTGTGTTCCTTCTTCCTACGGGATTTGGGAAAAGCTTAATATACCAGTTAACTCCAGTTAGCGGTGCATTAAATACATGACCAAATAGCAGCGATTGGTTAAATATAAAAAGTACCTGCCTACCGTCAAGTGAACAAATTACTGCTGTGAGGTCCGACGGTTTCCACAAAGTGAAACCGGCTGACGAATCGGGCTACTTGAGACCGCCTCAAGACTGCTTTTTTACATTTGGACTCGGTCTTGTCTCAGTCTTGTCTTGGACTCGAGGTCTCACACTCGACGAGTGTGATCATGTTTCATTACGGCCGGTGAATGTGCAGAAGCTGCTGAATATCACCTCAAAACCAGTAAGACAATGTAACTGTAAATGTTATGAACTTGAAAAACTCCATGAACTTGTTTTCTGTAAAGTTCCAGTGGAAGTGGGAATAAAGAAGCGGTTCTCAAACTGTGGGTGAGGGTCCAAAAAAGGGACGCAGAGTGTTTCAGTGCAGCACAGTTTGCTTTTGTTGGCCTATTTTAAGTCTAAATGAACATTAACCAAATTAAATTGAGATAGATTTATAAAAACATTGATATATATGAATCCGTGTATCATTCATTCGTTTTTCAATATAAAACCAAAATTAAGAAAACGAAAAAACAACTATTTTCTTCATTATTTGTCTCCAAAACCAAAATGAAAAAACAGATAAAGATTAGTTTTTTTCAGTTTTTGATTTTGTGTTTTAAATGAATAATGGAAAAAAACCCAGATAACCCGTTTCTGTGACTTAAACTGTTATGCCGCTCTGAACCACGACTGAAACAGGACTAAACCAGGACTAAACCATTTTCAGTCCTGGTCTGGTCCCGGTCTCAGTCCTAGTCTAAGTCCCGGACTGGTTCTGGTCTGGTCCCAGACCTGTTCCAGTACTGGTTCAGTCCTGGTTCAGCGCGACATAACAGTTTAAGTCACGGAAACGGGTTATCTGGGTTTTTTTCCATTATTCATTTAAACACAAAATCAAAAACTGAAAAAAATGAATCTTTATCTGTTTTTTTCATTTTGATTTTGGAGACAAATAATGAAGAAAATCGTTTTTGCGTTTTCTTATTTTTGGTTTTATTGGAAAAACAAATGAATGATACACGGACGTATATGTGCCAAAATACAAATAAATGTAGAAAATGACAAAGATGATCTTGATTTGGTCTCGTTGGGCCGTGGTCTCAGTCTTGTATCGGTCTCGACCCTCCGAGGTCTTAGTCTTGTCTTGGTTTTGGGACCCCGCGGTCTCAGACTGGTCTCAACATCACTGTACTGTGAAACATTCATGGCAAACATATTTTTATATTTACAAAATTGCGGTGGATCCTTCACCAGAAAAGTTGCACTGTGCATCTTTAATGACACCAGTATGCCGCTATATTAATCCACCCCTTTATTTATTTATTCATTTATTTAACAAGGACAGTGCACAGAAAATATTAAACTCATAGACAAAATTTGCTCTGTGCCAGATTTAGTGACTTTCCATCTGTAATCCTTAAGCAAGACCAGCTCCTGCTCCTCTGTGTCCTTTTTCCTCCTGACCTGCAGTCGCTCATATTTACTCTCATATTTTGTTTGTATTTTTATATTTATTCACGTGTTTGTTTTTCTTCAGAGCATCGACGCCACGATCGGAGGAGAGGACTACAACAAAGACCAGATCAACAAATGGACCGCGGCCATTTTAGAACGTTGCCTCAGTGACCTCTGCAAACTGGGAAAACAGTACAAGTATATAGGTGAAAGAGACTAAACCAGGACTAAACCAGGACTAAACCAGGACTAAACCAGGATTGAACCAGGACTAAACATCATTATGTGGCCTCCTGCAGCTTTGCTCCATGTGGAAGTGTTTAAAAGGTAAGTCCAGTTCAGCTATTTATCAACAGGAGGCAAACACAGAAATATGCGCTACTACTACTACTGAAAAATACACAAAAAGTACACAGGAAATACACAGAATACTGCAGTTTATGAGGACGCACACCACCTGTATTTAGTGCTGGGAGCAAAATGGAAACTCCTCTGCTGTGTGCTGAGTATTAACAGGTATTTGGACTGAAAAAAGAAGAGAAAACATTGTTAAAGTAAGAAATGAATTACATTGTTTTACTTTTATTTAATTTTATTCTCAGGAAATTTGTAAAACATTTAACTTTTTTTTATTTTCCAACTTAATTTTGTGTTCATGTGTGAGTTTAGATCAGTGACTGTTGTTTGACAGTGTGACAGTAAATCAGCTCCACCCACAGGTGTCAGGTTACTAGGAAATGCTTTGTACTTTGGGTTTGTCACTGGGTGCGGCTGCGTCAGTCTGCAGAGTGAACGAGAGTCTCTGTTCAAATCTAAAGGAAGAGATTATATTTGTGTTTAGTTCATCATGGCCGAGGCTCCTCTGGACTCGTCGGACTGTCTTTTGTGTTTCTGAGGAGTTGAAGGATCCAGTGACTTTGGGCTGTGATCACTGCTTCTGTTACACGTGTCTGCAGGAGCACTGGGCCCCGAACAGGACCGGGGACTGTCCCAAATGCAGACGGAGGGCGTCTAAAGAGCTGCCACCTTAGTTTGCTCTGCAGGAGAAGAGAGAATCTACTCAGAGACAAACGGACAGTTCAGAGGAGCAGACGGGAGGGGAGCAGGAGGAGGTGAGGAGGAAACTCCCTGAGGATATTTTGTTTGTGTCAGACAAACCCAAAGTGTCGTCACAGACACAGGCCTCTGCAGAGGAGGAACTTCAGTCTGAAATCCAGAGACTTGTGCAAAAGAAAGAACACAGTGAGAATATAAAGAAACAATATGAGGACATGTTACAGCACACAGAGAGACAGACACAGCGCTGTGAGGATCAGATCAGGAAACGGTTCAACCAACTCCACCAGGTTCTTTATCAGGAGGAGGAGCAGCGTCTGTACGAGCTCAGACATGAAAAGGAGGAAAAGACTCGGAGGATCCAACAGAAGCTGAGGGACACTGAGGCTAAACTGGCCTCTCTGTCTGACAGTATTAAGTCTGCAGAGCAGCAGCTGCAGAGTCAGAGCTCTGCTCCTCTCACAGAAACCAGGGACCCTCTGGTCCTGACAGAAGAACCAGACCCCCCAGCACCAGGACCTGGACTCCTGATCGATGAGGCCAAAGTCCTCAACAACCTGGAAGATAGACCAAAGCAGAAGATGTGGGGAATGATTAATCCCAGCCCTGAGTTTCTTCTGGACCCAAACACTGCCCACAGAAATCTGCTTGTGTCTGAGGATCTGACCAGAGTCAAACACACAGAGACTCCAGACCCAAATGTCCCTCTGAATCCAGAGAGATTCAGGTCTTACACCAGTGTCCTGGGCTCAAAGGGTTTCAGCTCTGGGTGGTGGAGATGGGAGGTGGAGGTGGGAGATCATCCTGAGTGGACCATAGGTTTGGTCAAAGAGTCTGTGGACAGAACAGCTGAACTGGAGACTTTACCAGAGAATGGATTCTGGTGTTTAAAGCACCACGAGAATAAATACTACAACATTACTGGTGAAACACTGACACTGAGAAAACGTCCTCACAAAATCAAAGTGAGTTGGAATATGAAGAAGGACGAGTTTCCTTCTATGACGGCCCTGGGATCTAATCTGCTCCCACACAGACACTTTCACTGAGAAACTCTTCCCTTATTTTTATGTGGGACCAAAAGGGGGCGCTAAAGAAATTAAAATAAGTCAGATCTATTATGTATCATCAACATTGTCGAGGGAACATTTGAGTTCTGTGAGGTCAATGAAATCAGACCCTGTAACTGGTCTCCCAATAGTCCAGCCTTCCTCAATGTCTTTAACTCAACAAAGAACTTCAGAAAGCTCTCAGGCCACAAAGCTCTTCTTTAAGGGACCTGAACAGAAAACTCCAGCTGCACCAGAATCCTCAGTAAAACCTGAGGAAACATCAAGTGAGTGACGTGTGAGCTCAGGTTGGTCAAATAGGCAAGAATTGTACTAAGAGTTACAGTAAAATAATGTTACTAAAAGTTAAAATTATTGGTCTAAGAGTAAAAAGTATTTGGGGAAACTACTACTCAAGTAAAAGTAACTTCTAGAGTAACTGCTGGGACACAACATCTGATTTATAATTTGAAGTAAATGAAGCAGAAAACATAAAAAATAATGCACACGTTTGATATTTTTCGAAGGATTGAACAAAAAAGGGACAAAATCATATGTGAAGTAGCGCTTCAAGAAACACAAATGTTTAAATCATTTCTTATTGTCATAGGTGTGAATTCATTTCTTCACTGATTAGTAGAATAGTAAAGTATAATTTTCTTTCTTTTTTTTACTGTTTAACATAATCATTAAGTTGTTATATTGTGAGCTTCATGTTGTTACTTTGCTGTTTTATCCGTTTTCTTTATGCATTGTGCTTAAAATGTTTTACTTTTTATGAATGTATTTATTTAAAAATAGTATATTAATATTTTAATTGTGAGATATTCAGTGTCTTTGTTCTGGAAAATCCTTGGCTGGACGTCACTGCAGACAAACACTTTCATTTACAAAACTATATTGTCAAATCTTCCACAGTATCTCACCTCCCTGATTTAATTCAGTTCAGTTCTGTTCATGACCAAACCAGGTTCAGGAGAGACTGAGCTCAGCAGCGCCACAAATCTACACAGAGTGAGGGAAAAACTGCTCTGATTATTTATGGAACAGTGTCATAAACCGACTCAAACTAAACAGTGTCATTTCCTTAAGTGTTTTTAAACGCACTATACCTGTCATCTTTTCACACCGTTATAATTATTTTGACTCAACGCCTCGTGGAAAACAGGTTCAACAAATATTTAAATGTACATTTCATTTTGCATTTTATTCATTGTAAATGTTTGATGTTTTTAAAAGTTTGTACTCAGAACTCCCTTGAGAATGAGAGGACACTTCTGCACCACTGAACTACGACTGTTCTTTTAATCAACATCACAAACATTTAAATTAAAGTCTGTTTTTAATCCAACACTGTCACTTTGGTTTGATTTTTCCCAATGTAAAAAGAAACACATTATCATTTTAATTCACAAAACATAAGACCTGATTGTTTTTACTTTGCTGAATAATCCACAGTGTGACTTGACGTCTATGTGTCTCTATCTGTCTCCATGGAAACAAGAAAGTGGTGCCATCAGACCAAGTTACGGGTCAGATCTGTGGAGAGACGAGCCCACGCGCAAGGTCCTATATTACACAAAATGGACTCTCGTGAACTTTAAACCATCTTATTATTATGTTGTTATTATATTAGTTGTGTTTTGTTTCATTCACACATGTTTGAGTAAAACTTTATTATTAGTCTGTCTACATCTCTCAAAAAATGCTCTGTTCCACCTTGTGATGTCATGAAGTGGTAGTTTTCAAGTTAACAGCAAACACAAAACACAACTCCAGGTCTGTCTGTAAAGAGAAAACATTAGAACAATGATCAGAAAATAGTGTAATATGGGACCTTTAAGTTGAGAAGTTCCGTGACATTTCAGAAAAGCTAAAGACCGTTTGAATCGTGCTAGCTAGACTTGGTTATTATTTGCTATTTTCAAGAACTATCATAGAACTATAATAAAATAATAATAAAAAAGTAATAATAATAAATAATAAAAAAGAAGTAGAAGAAAAAGTTTTTATTACTGATCCATGAGAGCTATATTTGCGATTACAGAAGAACTACCACTCCCGTGATCCTCTGCGGGAGCGCTTCTCCGCGACGTCACCCGGATCCGGCTCGCACGCTTCCTCCACGCTCCTTCACCGTGCGCCACTGACAACAACTTTTTAAAAACGTATACTCTTACACATTTCTCACGTTTCCGCTAGTTTTGTGCCCGAGGAGACTTTATAGGAGGTGGGAGAGTTTTTTTCCAAGGCCAAAGAGGTCAAAAAAATGAAACTTGAACGTTAAAGTACACCAGATTGACGTTAGCATTCGGGCTAAGTTGTAGCTACGATAAACTGTAGGGAGTAGTTTTAAAGCCGCATCAAACGTCATATTCGTCATTAAATATTGTGTCAGAATTGTTTTAAACGCTGCTTTCGGTTAAATCACACTTATCTTTGCTTGTTTTAAGGTGTTAAAGTACAGTTAGAGCTGATTTATGCGGCGTGGATGACACTTGAGTCGGTTGGAGGAAGAGGAAGAAGAAGAAGGAGAAGAAGAAGAAGACGACCATGAAACGGTTAAACGGAGGAGCGCAGAGGCGAGGACTGTGACAGCTCCTGCCCGAAAAACACACCTCAAACCCGGGCACAACCGAGCCGCAGGGACGCTATGCCGCGGAGGAAGCAATCCAACCCGCAACCCGTCAAACGTGAGTCCAAAAAACATGGCACTTTATGACGTATTTATGAGTTTTTTAGTTGAATTAATGGGGAAACTGTTAAGATATTTAGCTACAGGGCATTACAAGGAAGTAGTAGGAGTAGTAGTAGTTGTAGTAGTTTTAATTTTTTTCTATTTAATAGCTGCAGGGTTGGTATGTTTGGTATAAATAAAAGAATGAAAAATATATTTAGTGTAGCAGCACCAGTTGTTGTAGTGGAATAATTTCTATTACACACTGCAAGATTTTAAAAGTTAAATCAAGTTATTCATCTTGTTTTCAGCATCTGCTTACTAGTTCTGAGACAGCTTTTTTTTAAATATTTAATAGCTACTGGGTTGGGGTGTTTGGTGTAAATAAAATAGTGAAAAGAGCATGTAATATTGTGTATTCTCTTGTCAGTTGTAATCTGAGGGACTTCTGTTTGTTTTATGGTCATGGATTTCTGTATTTTTGGCAAAACAAGTGACAGTTTTTGCTCCTTTATTGTTGGCGTTTTGTGTAAATCTGATGAGACAGAGGATACAAGGGCTTAAAACTGGGACTGTCCTGGGTAAATCTGAAGTCTGGTCACTCTAGTCACGATACTAACATTTTCAACTCTGATTTCTTAAGAATAAACAACATATTTGATACTGATTTAAAAAAAAATTTAAAAGCACTTTTTTATACAATATTGTGATTTTTAGCATGTGATAGTCTTTGTTTGTTACACCATGTGGTCTTACACTTTTTATAAAGTAACTATACAAGCCCAAATAAGTTTTAGTATCGACTAGTATCTGATTTTTGATACTTTTGACAACCCTAGTAGTGGTATGTTTTGGTGCTTTTCTATATATATTTAGTGTAGCAGCACCAGTTGTTGTAGTTGTCAAGGAATAATTTCTATTACACATTTTAAAAGATTTTAAAACTTATAGCTACTTATTCATCTTATTTTCAGGTTTATTATCTATTTACTAGTTCTGAGACTGCTTAATTCTAGTCTAGAGGTTGTTTATTTTAAGATAACTTGTCAAGTAAAATTATTTTGCTGCATGAACAGATAATTCCACTACTTTTAAGTCATTTTCTGATAGATTTAAGTGTTTATATCTTACATTTTGGGCAAGCTTTTTTGCAGTGTAGTGTCACGATAGTAAAATTGCAAACCCGATTTTGATACTCAAGAGAATGTGATTTGCAACAATGATGGTAATAATAGTAGTAGAATAGTAGTAGATAGTAAATGGTTGTACTTCCTTTTCTATTCCCATGTGGTCTCACAGCTGAGTAATCCCTAGTGATTCATGGACGTATACTCGTCTATGTGGTCTTATACTTGCTCTGAAACAGCTCAAGATCATTCTAGAGCGATTCTGAAGCAGGAAAGATTCAGTTCTGTCTTTTAGTATCGATACATGCAAAAAATGAGGATCTAATTTTGATACTAGTTTGATTAGTAGCTGATTTTTCGATATTTTGCAAACACTAGTATCTGGATCTATCTGTAATTACTGCAGTTATGATTACTATTATTGTAATGTTAACAATTTTAAGTTTATTTGTGACTGTTTAGAAGGCTGAAGTCGTTTCTTTGGAGTGAGAGAAAAGAGGAACCAGGCGGACAGGAAGTGAAGATGGAGAAACAGGAAACAGGAAGTAGGAGAGCGTTGGTGAGGAAGAGGGAAGAGCATGTCAGGAGCAGATAAACAGTCTTCCTCTGCAACAACGTCCTTTATATAGAACTCTTTCAGACGCTCAAAGCATCTGTACGCTTTTGTGCATTATTTATTCAATTAAAGCTGCACTGTGTAACTTTTTGTTTCTGTGGAGATGTCATCGCTCTGCCCGGAATGTTCCACAGTGTGACATTAAACAGCTCTACTTTACATTTATTCAATTACAGTTGGTTTTGTATCTTAAAATACCTAGAAAAACAGGTATTCTGACTGTGAGCGGGGTCGCCTCTCCACAGAGCTGACCTGTGACTTGGTCTGGTTTGGTCTCCATGGACACAGAAAGGTTTAATGCCATACTGTGAAACATTCCAGACAAAGCGATAACATCTCCGTGAAGAAAAGCACTTCAGTCAATCCATCAAACTTTATTTACAGAGCGCTTTTCGTACAAAAAAATGCAACACAAAGCGCATTTGACGGACCCTCCACCAGAAAAGTTACACAATGCACCTTTAAACCGTAGCTTTAAAGGCAAGGCAAGTTTATTTGTAAAGCACAATTCGTACACAGAGGAATTTAAAGTGCTTTACAGAATAAGAAATGCATGAAAATCACAATACAAACAAATCAAAACGTTAAAAAAAAATGCAAGACATTAAATGAGAGAGAAACAGAGTGCAGAATGAAAATCTTTCAGTCAAACGCAGCTTAACAGAAGTGTTTTGAGCCTGGATTTAAACAGAGTCAGAGCAGAGGCCTGTCTCGCATGTTCAGACTGTTCAAGGTTTTAGCTGCATGAATCTGAAACTCTGACTCCCCGTGTTTAGTCCTGACTGTGGGCACCAGCAGGAGGCCCAGAGCTCAGAGTGCAGATGGCTCATGTAGCACTAACATGTCACAGATGAACTTTGGCGCTCGGTCATGGAGAGACTTGTACACGAGCAGAGCCGCTTTAAAGTCTCTGAGCCACAGGAAGCCACCGCAGAGACCTGAGCCACAGCTTTGTTTACAAAATGTGCCATAGAAACAAAGTTATGGTTATGAGTTGATGATCAGTGGTGGAAGAAGTACTCCATTATGTTACTGCTGTAAGTGAAAGTAAAAGTATCGCATTAAAAAAAAAAAAAAACAACTACATAAAGGTGCACTATGCAACTTTTCTGGTGGATGGTCTGGCATCTACTTTGCTTAGAATGTTCCTTGGAATGACATTAAACGACCGACCGACTGACCAACCATTTTATTTTTATCGATTGATTTTTAAAAAAATGGATTGATAGATTTTTTTAATTGATGTATTTATTTAGTTTTTATAAATTTCTTTCTTTATTTAATTTTAATTTATTTTTGTATTATTTATTTATTTATTTTTTATTATTATTTTTTATTATTTTAGAGATGTTTCTGTTGCATAAATACAATAAATCTCTCAGTGGATAGGGCCGCCTCTCCACAGATCTGGCCTGTACCTTGTAATGTAGTCACGTTGTATCCGTCTAGATAGATTAGCTTTAATCTCCACTGTGGAACATTCTAGACAAAGCAATAAGATCTCCATGGTGACAAGCAGATGGCAGACACTCCACTAGAAAAGTTACGCAGTGCTCCAAGTTAAAGTATTAAAGTACCAGTAAAAGTGTACTTAAAGAGTAAAAAGTAAAAGTATTTTGCACAGATTTTGAGATCTAACAAAGCTTCAAATGTAGTGATTTTGATTTTGTTTAGTAGAGAAAAATGAATTGATCTTTTTTCTGTAGCTGTTTATATTTGTTAACTCAAAAATAAATCATCAGCCTTTTCAGCAGGTCTCAAACTATAATAAAAAATACTTTTACTTTTCAGTCCAGTTCAAAAAATGTAGTGGAGTAGAAAGCACAGATACCTGCTCTCAAATGCAGTGAAGTAAAAAGTATACAAGTATAAGTAACGTACAGACACCTACATATTTTATTGTAGTAGTAACAATAATATTTCCTTCCCCTCTGTCTGTCAGTGGGTGTGCAGCCGCCAGACGCTCCGCTGGTGGTGGACCCCAGCTGTCTGGTGCTCGACAGCGACTTCCTGTTGAGTGGAGACCTGGAGTTTGGAGACTCTGAGATCATGGGCCTGGACAAAGACTCAGGTCAGTGCGAAAATCAACTCGAGTGTCCTATCCAATCACATCACAACATCTGGGAGGGCATCTGACACGTTTTGTCTCTGTTTTTAGTGACGGTGTTTTCTCTGAGCGTGGAGGAGGACTCGTCTGTGACCTCTGACCCGTCCCTGTCCTTCTGCTCCTGTAAACGCTGCGGAAAACTGCTCCCCGACTCCCTGCTCTCCACCGGAATCCATCTGGGTTTGTCTCACCTTTTCAAAACCACCCGAGTAATGTCAAAATATTTCTCAGTGAGTGTGTTAACATGCGCTCGTGTCTGGTTATGATCGGGGTTTTTTATGTATCCTGGTTTAGTGAGTGTCCAAGTAGACGCAGTATCCTGATTTCAGTATCCTGGACATGCCAGTATCCCGGAGATGAGAAACCAGGAGACTCTCACTGGCTTTTTCTGAGTGCCCAGAATGCAGTATCCTGATTTCTCACTCTTGGTCCTTTTCCGAAAATGTGCAAACTCTAGTAACAGAAAGGGTGGGAGCAGTTACTTTCCCAAAAACGACTCAAACTCACACCAGGACTTTATAAGTAATATTATTTTATACTTTAAACAAAATAAAGCAGTCTACTCCACATTTTAACACCAGGCTCACCTCCGTGTCTCTTGCGCAGCTCTTGAACTAAACTGACGCTTTGACTCTGTTTTACTTTTTAACTGTTAAAAACGGCTTTTACTCAAATGTTTGTCTTCTTTTTTTGTTGTTAGAAACCCATTAAAAAGCCTTAAGTCAGGGGTGTCCAAACTTTTTTCATCAAGGGCCACATATCTAAACACAGATGAAGTAGAGGGCCGATCAAGGGCCGTAGACTGGTGCTCAATACAGTGAATAATTGAAATATGTGCACGTTTATTACGTTAGAATGAGCCATCAGTTGTTTAAGATCCTCAAAACCACACACTAAGTATTAAATTTATCAAGGTAGATTTTCAAAAAACTTGCAGTAAAAAGTGAATTTTTCATTGATGCAGGGTAATTTGGGCCAATTCTCCTGGAAGCCTGAGGGCCAAGAAAAATTTGTCTGAGGGCCGCATTTGGCTGACGGGCCATAGTTTGGACATGCCTGCCTTAAGTTAGTAAAGTTTTCTCCGTGTTTAGGTCCTTGCCATATCTGTGCCATAGTTACCATAGCAACCGGTCTAAATAGCCAGGATACTCTGATTCCTCGTGTACACAACGACTTGAGTATCCTGGTGTCTCTGGGCGCATGTAAACCGCCACATCTAGAACACTGTCAGAACCGGGATAAGACTCAAAACCGGGATACTCAAGCGCACGTAAACGCACTCATTCTATAGGCCCTTTATTCCAGAAGTTTCCATGGGTGCCAGTATCATCATTTGGGTTTTATTATTTTGTTTGGGGCCGATCCTCACAGCAAATTAGTTCAGTACAGATGACAAAGCAGTTTTAAATCCTCCAGAGATTTGTTGGTGCACAGGAAAATTTTACTTTTTGCACAAATGAACAGTGGTGGAAGGTAATGAAGTACAAAAGTGAAAGTACAATGCGTTTTTTGTGTAAAGCGTTGTGGTAGAGAGTCTGTCACCCGCTTCCTTCTGCAGATATGTAATTTATCTGCCTGAATGTTGCACAGTTTGAGTTTTTGAAAGAAACCTCCAAACTTCTGATCCACAAAAGCTGAACCTTCTCATTATTTGTTTGGGATCAGCTCTAGAGGCTTGTCATATTACTCTTCTGGTTTAAAGTCATTTCAGCTGACAACGCTCACGTCTTTGTGGTTGAATAATGGCACCACTTCCTGAAGCTGTTGTGAAAAAAAAAAAAATTACTTTTGTTTATTAATCCAGACAGAGAAGACGTTGAACTTTGTACTTACTTGGCAAACAAAACATGACTCAATATTAAACACAAAACCAGGACAACAAATCTGTGCTTAATGCAAGTGTGTGGTCCTATTAATAATAGTATACACAAATGTAAACGAGTTTATTATTTTGTTGTTTGCAATTCTTACTCTAGCCACTAGATGGAGATATTCCCTTCTCCACTACTGCTCTGACAAAGTGTGGAAAGTTGTGTGAATGTTAAAATCTTTACTCTTTAAGAAGCCTACACTTTTAAATGTGTACTTTATATACGTTTATATAAATATATCATACCTTTATTTAAGTTGATTTTTTTCATGTGAGTATTTTTGGTGCTCTGGTATCTGTACTTTTACTTAAAAAACAAAATCGAGTACTTCTTCCACCTCTGCAGGCTTGCTTGTCCTTATGGAGGTGGATAAGTTTAAAACTTTACTCTGGTACTTTTTAGGCAGTAATCTCCATTCAGACATCCAGGAGGTGAACGCTTTTTCAGAAAAGTTCATCTTTAAACGTCTATCTACATATGAGCAACTTTTAATTTACTTTTAGTAGTAGCAGTAACAGTCGTCTCTGGTTTAGTCCCTGGTTCAGTCCCTGGTTCAGTCTCTGTTTTAGTCTCTGTTTTAGTCTCTGTTTTAGTCTCTGTTTTAGTCTCTGGTTTAGTCTCTGGTTCATTCTCTAGTTTAGTCTCTGTTTTAGTCCCTGTTTTAGTCTCTGGTTTAGTCTCTGGTTCAGTCCCTAGTTCAGTCCCTGGTCTAGTCTCCGGTCTAGTCTCCGGTCTAGTCTCCGGTCTAGTCCCTGGTCTAGTCCCTGGTCTAGTCTCTGGTTAAGTCGTGGTTTAGTTCACGTATGTTCTATTTTACAAATCTGACTTTTTGCTTTTAATCCTAAACATTAATAATAATTCCCACATTTTTATTTCCCTCCAGGAGTGGGTTTGGATCTCTCTCCGGACCTGTACTGCCTCAGCTGTGAAGAGGACGTCCAGTCTCCTTCATCTCCGTCAAAATCTCCGAAACAGGTCAAGAGAAAAAGGCAAAACTCCAAAACCAGTTCCCCCGCGAAACTGTTCACCTGCTCCGTGTGCTCGTTCACGTCGCGATACTCGAACCACCTCAAACGCCACACGCGGATCCACGACGGACAAAAGCCGTTCCGCTGCGGCGTTTGCTCGTACGCGTCGACTCAGCTGGTGAACTTACAGCGCCACCTTCGGTCTCACACGGGAGAGAAACCGTACCGCTGCGAGAAGTGTGAATACGCCTGCAGTTCCCACGGCAACCTGAGGAGGCACCAGAGGACGCACGCCACCGAGGAGAGGAGGAAGACGAGCGCCGGGAAACGAGTGAAGAAGAGGAAGAGCGAAGGAGAGGAGGAAGGTAAAGAAGAAGTGTGTGGTTTGGACCTGGTTTAGTCCTAGTCTAGTTCTGTTTTAGTCCCTGGTCTAGTTCTGATTTAGTCCCTGATTTAGTCCTAGTCTAGTTTTGAGTTAGTCCCTGATTTAGTCCCTGGTTTAGTCAATGTCTAGTTCTAGTTTAGTCCCTGGTTTAATCTTGGTTTAGTCCCTGGTTTAGTCCTAGTCTAGTTCTGGTTTAGTCCTTGGTTTAGTCCCTAGTTTAGTCCTAGTCTAGTTCTGGTTTAGTCCCTGGTTTAGTCCCTGGTTTAGTCTTGGTTTAGTCCCTGGTTTAGGTCCTGGTTTAGTCCTAGTCTAGTTCTGGTTTAGTCCCTTGTTTACTCCCTGGTTCAGTCCCTGGTTTAGTCCCTGGTTTAGGTCCTGGTTCAGTCCCTGGTTCAGTCCCTGATTAAGTCATGATTTCCTGGTTTAGTCCTAGTCTAGTTCTGGTTTAGTCCCTCATTTAGTCCTGGTTTAGTCCTAGTCTAGTTGTGGTTTAGGCCCTGGTTTAGTAAAAGTTGAAGTGTCTGGACCTTGTTTAATTTTCTTTTCCTCTTTCCATCGTTCCCTCTCTTTTCCTCCTCCTCCTCTTCTCTCTCTTTCTCTCTCTCCCCCCTCCCCCTCTCCTCCTCCTCCTCTTCTGTCTCGGTCTCTCAGTGGTCTCTACCCTGACTCTGTCCCAGTCCGGGTTCTTGTCTCTGGGATCTCTGGAGTCGTCCTCTCCTCTCCCAGCTCTGCTCTTTCCCGTGCTCTGCAGAATCTGCGGGAAAACTCTGGAAGAGGACGACATCCAGAACGAGAGAGGAGACACGGACGCAGAGGGACAGGTGAGAGAAAGAAAAAAATATATAAATGGATTAATAACTAAGAAAGTGTCTATTTTGATGATTTGGTTATAGAATATTTAAGAAACGTATTAAACTAACAAAATAAAGGTCTTGTCATCTAGTTTTTTCTCTTAATAACTGTAACTATTGTAACTATTGTGCAATCTAGACAGTTTTGGTCTTTGTTTACATTAGGTAACAGCAAGTCTACGAAATACCAAACTAATCCAAGAGTCTCAGGTGTTTCAGAACATGTTTGTAAAGGTTTAAACTACACCCCATGGAGTCACAGGAAGGGCATCTGACTCACAGGGGCTTTATATTATCTAAATTATATTATCTAAAGATTTTATATGTATTGTACAGGACTGAACCAGGACTAATCCAAGGTCTAAACTGGATCCAAACAAGATCAAATCAAGCATTAAACCAGGTCTAAACTAGTTCTAACCTTAATCTGAACCAAGACCTGTCTAAAACCAGGTCTAAACCAAGTCTAAATCAAGTTTGAACTGGGACCTGTTTTAAACCAGGTCTAAACCAGGTCTAAACCAAGTCTAAACCAAGTCTGAACTGGGACCTGTTTTAAACCAGGTCTAAACCAGGTTTAAACCAAGTCTAAATCAGTTCTAAACAAGGTCTAAACCAGGTGTAATCAGGTCTAACCTAAGCACTTTAGCTGGTATAAAAGAGGACTAACACAGAACTAAACCAGGACAAGAATCCCATGTATTTCAGAACATGTTTGTAGAGGTCTCTGAACTACAGGGTGAGCAGCTTTTACACAGAACAAGACCTCATGGAGACATGGGGAGGGCATCTGACACACAGGGACCATATTACCAAAATAAAAGCATTTACATTTACATTTTTAACCAGACACAATTTCCACAAGACGAGATACGAGATTGAGTCCACAAGAACAAGACAAAATGAGATTTTAAGATCATTTCTAACATATAAATGTCACGATTCAGTTTCTATTTTGGCTTCACAGTTTATTTATTTTAACATTTTTCTTTCCATTCTAGTTTTGTTTTTTGGAACTGAACACTTGGGAAAAAAATCTCAGTAGATAATTTTTGTCTCACGTATTTTTACCTCTTTCTTATCTCCTCAGGTTTGCCACCGCTGCCTCTCTGACTCCTCCCCGCCCTCGAAATCCCGCCAGCGCCGAAAAATCTCCAAAACCAAACTGTACCGCTGTTCCCTGTGTCCCTTCTTCTCCCACTATCCCTACCACCTGACGCGCCACCTTCTCACGCACGAGTCCACCAAGTCTCACCGCTGCCCCCACTGCCCGTACGCGTCCTCGCACCAGGACAACCTCAGGCGCCACCTCAGGATCCACACGGGGGAGAAGCCGTTCGCCTGCTCGACCTGTAGCTACGCTTGCGGGAATTTGGCAAATCTAAAACGCCACGAGAGAGTCCACACGGGGGCCAAACCCTTTCACTGTTTCGTCTGCGGGTACAGCTGTAATCAGAGTATGAATCTGAAGCGTCACATGCTGAGACACACCGGATATAAGCCTTACGAATGTGCGGAATGTAACTACACGACCGGACACTGGGATAACTACAAGAGACATCAGCGAAAACACGGACACAACACGGAAAACTGGGATAAGAGAATGTATAAAACAAAAGCGGAAATGCTGAATATTGGAAATGAAAACGTGGGGTCTGTAGAAAACCTGTCACTCGAAACAGAATCAAAGCAAGATTTTACTCTGAAAGGGGAGTGTTAGCAGAAGATTACATTAAAAGGTTCTATATTACACAAAACTGACTCTTGTGAGGTTTAAGTCGTGTTATAATGTTATTACCTTCTCAAAAACAGAGTTGTGTTTTGTTTTATTCACACATTTTTGAGTAATCCTTTATATTACCGTATTTTTTGGACTATAAGTTGCTCCGGAGTAGAAGAGAAGTAAAAAACATAAATCGCGCTTTTTGGGGGAAATTTATTTTATTAAATCAGAGACCAGGAACAGTGTTGAAAGTCAAGTTCTAGTAAAAACAACAGAAGAGAGAACAACAGACTGTTAACGTCACATATGAACAGTTCTTCAGATAAACTATAACATAAACAACAGAACAGAACAAGTTTAACAAACTCTCCATCTCACTCCAAATCACTAAATCCATTCAATTCTTCATCCTCGGTGTCACTTCTGAGCAACTCCGCGACCTCCAGAGGTAAACAGAGCGCCGCTTCCTCTTCTGTGTCGCTGTTGTCAGACTCAGCATCAGTTCCAGTTAGAATTATTCCGGCCTTTCTGAATCCCGACAGGATGGTTTCGGTGTCACTGAAGTCCAGGTTTTGTCGTTTCATCCAGTGACTTCAGGAAAGTTTCATGGTGCACTTTCCCGGTTGTTACAAGCTTCTCGCTCACTCCAAACTTTTTTTCTGTTGCTCAATTACTGTTTTTAGCTGCATATTTCACGACTTGCAGCAGGACACATGGAGGAGACGTGCAGTAGAGCCAAGTGACAGTGGTACAGGAGGAACAGGAGCAGCAGATACTCACACACAAGACTAGAACCTCTCAACGCTTCAGTGTGAACATTTGAATATATAAGTCACACCGGAGTATAAGTCACAGGAAACACCCAAACCATGAAAAAAAGTGCAGCTTATAGTCTGAAAAATACAGTAGTCAAAATTAGCTCAAAATGCTCAGCTCGTTTTACATTTAGTTCAGCACTAGGGATGTAACAATAACTGAAATATTGTGATATATCATCAAAAGTCTCACAATATATCGAATTACAAGTCTCTTTGCTTAAATTAAGAGTTATGGTGCAGCAGTAGCGAAAAAAAGACAGAGCGAACTACATAGACCATGATCCTTTGCTCCATTTCAGTGCAGACTACAAGAAGAAATAACAGTTCTAACACTTTTAAGTCTTAGTTCTTTGGATTAAGTCTTGTCAAGGCATTTTAAGAGGAAAAAGTTTCACAGTTTTGTTACCCTTCACAAAATATTGCAATAAATATCGTACCGTGAGATGTATATCGTGAAAATATTGTGTAAATATCGTAAGAGATTTGGATATTGTTACATCCCTAATCGTGAGCTTTCCCAGAATATTGCAATAAATATCGTACCTGAAATTATCCAAATGTTTCTAGTGAAGGTGTGTGGAGTTTAAAAACACAGTGGAGCACTTCCTGTATCACCAGATGACATCACAAGTTTGGAACAGTGTTTTTTTTCTCTCAGCCTAAATTGCCTAAAATGTGTGAATGAAACAAAACACAGCTCCAGGTCTGTTTGCGACGAGGAAACTACAGTATAACAGATCAGAAATGAGTGTAATATGGGACCTTTTAAAGCTTTATTATGCAACTTTTCTCGTGTAGGGTTTCCATGGAGATGTAATCGCTTTGCCTAGAATGTTCCACGCTATGGCATTAAACTTATCTAGCTCGGATTTTTTTCATTGCACAATTAAAGGAGTTTCATGTTGTTACTGTGAGCAGGGTCGCCTCTCCACGGATCTAACCTGTAATTTAACCTGTAATTAATGCCTAATAACTAATGCCATACTGTGGAACATTTCGGGAAAGATCGTGGCAGCTTGGATTCAATCAATGAAATTAAAATAAAAAAAAAAAAGGCAAAACAATAACATCTCCATGGAGTAAATTGCAAACCCTTCAGCGGAAAAGTTACATAGTGCGCTTTTAAAAATATAAAAGCACTGACTATTACAATGGCTTTATGCATTTTATTAAATAGCTGTAAACAAAAGACGAGTTGATGAACCGTAACTCTTCGTGCCTTTTGACTGATCCACTGTAAAACACTGAATGTCTTAAGCCAATCAGGAGAAGCCATTTCCTCTCCTCGGACGAAAATGTTCAAAGGCCGCGTCTCATTTCTCTTTCCTCGCTTCCTCCTCCTCGATGGGCTCCATTCACGCTCAGGAAGACGTTCGGAAACATGTGATGACGACGATTTCCGGTGTAGTTCCCGACCGACCGTGATCAAACCCGCTGAAGTAAGATGAAGTCTGCATACGTGTGTGCTGTTCGGAATCATCTTGAATTTGGCGCCGTCGTTAGAGTGACCAGACGTCCCTATTGACCCGGGACAGTCCCAGTTTGGAGCCGTGTCCCCTGTCCCAGCAGATTTATCAAAACCGGTGATTTGTCCCAAGTAATGTCCCAGGTGTCCCTGTTTTTGACCAATTTGATCTAAACCAGGACTAAAACAGGACTATCAGTTTTTGACTACCGTATTTTTTGGACTATAAGTCTCACCAGACAAAAAATGCATAATGAAGAAGAAGAAAAACATATATAAGTCGCACTTTTTGGAGGAAATTTATTTTATTAAATCAGAGACTCGGAACAGTGTCGAAAGTCAAGTTGTAGTAAAAACAATAGAAGAGAGAACAACAGACTGTTAACGTCACATATGAACAGTTCTTCAGATAAACTATAACATAAACAACAGAACAGAACAAGTTTAACAAACTCTCCATCTCACTCCAAATCACTAAATCCATTAAATTCTTCATCCTCAGTGTCACTTCTGAAAAACTCCACGACCTCCGGAGGTAAACAAAGCGCCGCTTCGTCTTCTGTGTCGCTGTCGTCAGACTCAGCATCAGTTCCAGTTAGAATTATTCGGGTCTTTCTGAATCCCGACAGGATGGGATCGGTGTCACTGAAGTCCAGGCTTTGTCCATCCATCCAGTGACTTTTCATGGTTTCATGGTGCATCCTCCTGGTTACCATGAAGCTGTGTTCTCCATCCCCGCTTTCCTCCAGTCCCTCACAAGTTTTTCACTCAGCCCAAACTTACTTTCTGCTGCTCAATTACCGTTTTCGGCTGAATATTTCACAACTTGCAGGAGGACAGAATCTCTTTCTGTAGGAGACATGTGCAGTGGAGTGAAGTGACAGTGGTACAGGAGGAACAGGAGCAGCAGATACTCACACACAAGAGTAGAACCTCTCACCGCTGTCAGGGTGAAAATTTTAATATATAAGTCGCAGGACCCCTCAAACCATGAAAAGTGCAATTTAGAGTATGTAGTACTGCGACTTATATACTGAAAAATATGGTAATCTGATCCCTAACAACAGTAAAGAGGAGCATAAATTGTCATTTGTTTCACCAAAATACAGAAATCCGTGTTTGCAAATGACCATAAAGCAAAAAACAAACAAACGTAGCAACAGAAGTCCCTCAGATCATGACTGAAACCCTCTTTTCACAATTTTATTTATAGCGACTATCCAAATCTCGGTGTGTCCCAGTTTAGACTTTTGAAAATCTGTTCACCCTGGCCCTCATCTCTTCTAATCGCATGTACCCAGTGCGCTCGGAGTTGTGTGTCAGTGGGGAAATTACAAAAACTTTTGTCAGAATACCGCGAACAGATCCCGCCGGACGTCGCCATCGCATGTTTCCAAATGTCTTCCTCGATCATCTACTTTTCAGCTGTGAAACAAATCTGTCGTCGTAAATGGCCTCCCAAAGAAATCCACGGAAGGAAGGAAGGAAGGAGTAAACCTGAGGGAGGCTTCGGGAGCAGACTCAAAGAAAAAAATCAAACTTTTATCGGTCTCGGTGAGGAGTTTATAGCAGATCCTCTCCCCTCGCTTTGTCTCCTCTGTGGACGGGACTTCCTCGCCCGTTTTCCCGCACAATCTGGGAGAAGGAAGTAAGGAAGCGAGGAAAGGGAAATGAGAAAACGTGGCTGCTTACAGGTCAAAAGAGGGAAAATACAACATGAAGAACTGAGAAACGGCAAGGGTCTTTGCAGAATCAACAATCGAAGAACCAAACTATGACTTATCTCAGGTAAAAGAAGTTCTACATTGCGTTATGAATGTCACGAGAATTTTCGAGAGTCACGTGATGAGAATTGGCAGCTGTGGTTGGTTCATTTCAAGTTTGGATGTTCAGATTTCAGTCTGGCTTCAAACGGAATGTAGAAACAGGAGGCAATCTCAGCTCAGGCAATCTCTCCTTTTCCACAATGTTATTTTTGGAATTTGGGAGCTCCATAGATGTATTTTTGCAGGGAAAATATCATGTATTTTCGTCAGTTTTACTTTGGGATTTCATTATATTAAAACAAAATGAAGAGGTTTTGAAATTAATTGCAATAAACATACTGTATTTGCTGTAATTTCTTGCTTAATGTCATAATATAAAAACATCAAAATTTTTATTGCGTTTATTTTTCATTTATTTATATATATTTGTACGTTCAGTGGGAGTACAGTGCGAGAAATTTGAGACAATTTAACAATTCAAAAACACTATAATTTTGAGCCACATTGATTAAAAATTATGATAAAAACTAAACGAAGATCCAAATCCACCAAAAAAAAACAGCGATAGTTCCTTCTTCTCACTGCTTCTTATTTCTGATCGAGCCTAATTATAATTTCAGAACTGTTCCTCCGCGTTCATCAGAGCTTCAAACTCCTCGATCTTCTGCCTCGTGTTTCCTCTCTGGATTTTTCTGTACGACAAAGTTTTGTATTTCGATGACGCTCTTGTCGACTTTTTCTTCTCGTTGTCCAGCAGCGCCACCTTCTTGAGGCCTGGAGAAACAACAAAATATGACAAAAATTATGACGATTGTTTTCATTCTGTTTTATTTAGTCTTATTAAACTATCAACAGTATTGTGTCAGTAGGGTTGTGATGATTCTCTAATTTTAACTTAATTTGATGGCGATATAAATTTAAATTACAGTTTAGCACAATTCAAGAAGCAGTTTGTGAAGAAAAGTTGAAAAATGTGTTGAAAATTACAGAAAGTAGAGCTCTGTTTTAGAGAGAAAAGAGAATTTTATCTACAAGCGAAACTTTTTGCCAATATTTTAAGCATGATTTCAACACAATAAAGGTGTTTTCTTACATTTTTATTCATCAAATATTCATCTCTGTGCACATTAGAAGAGTTTAAAAGCTCAAAACTCATTTCTAACTTGCATAACTCTTTTTTTTGTATAAGTTTTTTATGTTTCCCTGGAAAAAGAAAGTTAAAACCATACTTCCGAACGTTTTATGCCGTGCTGTGAAATATTAAAGCCGTAGCAATGACATTTCCATGGAAACAAGTAGGAGGAGAGTCAGGTTTGTGGAGATGCGAGCCCACTCACAGTAAATACGCATGCTTTAGCACAATAAAACACTATTCACACTTTCTTCTGAATACATGTAAAAAGGATGAAAGGAGCTGAGCGTGGGGGACCTCAAGATGGAAAAACTACAGCTAAATGCTTTTAGAGTTCGACTACGGAGGTCAGAGGTCAAAGAATGGTCATACCGAGGTGAAATCTTGCTTTAGTACTGCGTAGACTAGATGGTGTTCCACAGTAGAGCATTAAACCTGTCTATCTCGCTTTAATTACACTGCAGCTGCTTAATTATTTGTAATCTTATAAAGTAAAAACAAGATATAAACAAAAATAAACAGATGGGAATGGTTTAATGTATATTTAAAGATGCTCTATGTAACTTTTGTCATTGCTTTGTCTAGAATGTTCCACAATAGTTCTTGAATATTCACGCTTACGTCACAAACCAGGGAGACGTTTGGAAACATGCGATGACAACTTCCGGTGTAATTCCCAACAAAGGGCTCAATCCGCCGACCGACTGGCGTAAATGTGATCATCGGTGAAATGAACACTGCATACGTTTGTGCTGTTTGGAATCATCTTGAATTTGGCGTCCTCTTTATTTAATTACCCGAGACGGTCCCAGTTTTATTCAGATTTATTCAAAATCAGTGATTTTTCCCAGTTTTATACAAGAAATGTCCCAGGTGTCTCTATTTTGACCGATTTGATGTAAACCAGGACTAAGGCGACGTTTATATGACGACGATCTGAACAGAAGATGCAAAAGTGGCGTCGCGTCTTAATGTTTTATTCTGCGTTTAGACGAGCGTTTTCAGAGGGAATTTTTAACTGATGCGAGGTAATTTGGGCCAATTCATCTAGAAGCCTGTGGGCTAAGGAAAATTTGTCTGAGGGCCGCATTTGGGACATGCCTGGTCTAAACGAAAGGCACGTCCGATAAAAAATATTTTGTCATCTTTACCTCCAAGCGTTCTTGTGTAAACAGGCCCTAAAACAGGACTATCACAATTTTTGAATAATCTGATCCCTGACAACGGTAAAGAGGCGCATAAATCATTATTTGTTTCACCAAAATACAGAAAACTGTGTTCGTAAATGACCATAAAGCAAAAAAAAATGCAGCGAAACAAGTCCCTCAGATCATGACTGACACGAGAATGCACAATGTTACACGCTCTTTTCACTATTTAATTCAGAGCAACTATCCAAACCTGGGTATGAACCAGTTTAGAATTTTGAAAAGCTGGTCTCTCTGGCCCTCATCTCTTCTAATCGCATGTACCCAGTGCACTCGGAGTTGTGCGTCAGTGGGGAAATGATGAAAACTGAGGTATGTTTGTAATTGTTAATTTGCCGAACATAATGGAACGCTACAACAACATGGAGAAAACTGGGACATTTTCTCATTTTTACTAGATTTTGTCATTACATGTTTCCAAATGTCTTCTTGGTTTGTGACGTAAACGTGAATAGATCCAAGTTACATACTGTAGTTTTAACAAGAAAATCAAGAAAATAACCAGGCCCACCTTTGTTTTTGTTTGTAGTCTTGGCAGCCATCTTGTCTCGGTTGCTTTCTTCACCGTTGGTCGTAACAGATCCTCCCTCTTTGTCGCCGTCCTGGTTTGTTTTGACGCTTTCTTCTCTGATTTTGGTTAACTTTTTCTCTTCCGTTCTTGACTCCGTTTGTCCCGACACACACGGTTCACTTTCACACATTTCTACCGCGATTTCAACATCTTGTGCTTCGATTTCAGACATATTTTCATCCACAGTTGATCTTTTGGTTTGGTTTTCCTCATTTTCGTTTTTAGTAGATGCTTTTAATACATCATTTTCTTCAACAACAATAACATCTTTGTCCATTTTAACCTCATCCAGCTGATTTGTAGATACTTCTTGATTTATTTTGCCCTCTCCGTCTTCGTAAATATCAGAACTCGCCATTTCTTCCTTTGAGTTTTTGTCATTTTTACTAACATCTTCATTGTTTTTATCCGTAGCCGCTTCCTCGTTGCTAATTGCTAAATCGTCTAGCTTTGTTTTGTCGTCATTATCTTTATTTTCAACATTTGTATCACATTTTTGATCAGTTTTGGCGCTCAAATCATCGTCATTTTGTTCACAAGTTTGACCAATCTCTAAATATGCCTTTTCTTGGTTTATTTGAACACAAAAATCGTTTTCTTTGCTAATTCCAGAATTTTCCGTAAGAACTTCCATTACTTCTTTGTTGTCATTAACGTCTGTTAGCTCATCCAACGCGTTTTCCTTATTTTCGCGAGCTGCTACGACGCTACAATCTCCTTCTACCTGATTAGCATTAGCATTTTTGTCGTTATCTTCAACTGCTGTGTTAGCTTGTTCAGTTTTGACGCTATCCTCCAAATATTTTTCACTAACTTCAGCATTTATAGAAACTGCTGCTAATTCTTCTGTATTACTAGTTGTTTTCTCAGTTCCGTCAAAAGGAGGTTGGACATTCAGACAATTTTCAGTCACGATATCGGTCAAATCGTACAAATTAGCTTGTCCATTGTCACTGTTTTTAGCATTAGCATCCTCCTCCATTTTGTCATTGTTTTGTTCTTCCTGTTGTGTTGTATTTACAGTGACGACATCTATTTTAACTGACTTATTTCAGTACAATAATCATTCGTTTTAGCATCGCTCGCTAATATTTTACACCCTTCCGAGTCTTCAGTGGAGCTAATGTTTATAGCACAGTTAGCGTCATCAGTTTTGTCATTCGCAGAAGCTTCATTTTCGCAATTTTCACAATTTTGAGCGGTTTCCTCATATTCTTCTGCACAGTTATCGTCTTCAGCATTTGTGGCGTCATTCGTTTTCTCGTCAAATTCGGTATTTTCGATTTTTGACGCGTTTTCTAGACTGGGTTTTGTTTCGGCGTTTTTAGCTTCTTGATTAGCATCGCCACAGACATCCTCCATTTTGCGAGACTGTTCATTTTCAGCAATTTTATCAGGAACATCGCGATCTTTTTGTTTACATTTTTGGTCCATGATTGTTTGAGCTTCAATTTGGCTCGTTGTATTTTCATCGTTAACAAAATTTACTTGGCTGTCTTCAGTTTTAGCTCTTGTAGCGTCTTCCGTTCCTTCAAATAAAGATTCTTGTTTAGCGGAATTAGCAGCTACGACTTCATTATTGTTAATTTTCGCCGTTTCGTCTTGGTAACATTCTCCGCCGTCTTGAATTTTTGTACCGTCCTCTGTTTGGTCGCAATATTTGTCGATCTCTTTGGTCAAATCAGCCTCGTACTCTTTGTCTTCGTCTTTTTGTTGTTCATTTAGATTCAAAATATCTCCCAAAACGGCGTGAAAAACTCTGCTGACGATTGAATTTTGGTCCGAACCGTCTCCATCTGACCACCAACCCGCCATACTCAAATATTGGAAGAAATTTGGGAAGAAAAAGCCTTAAAAAAATCACTATTAGGATGTAAATTTGTGTAAAATTCCCAAAAAAATGCCTTGAAAATCTGTTATTTTACTACTGTCCAGCAATATGTAGGAAAAGTCCTCAGAAAATCACTTAAAAATGTCAATAAAATGCTCCAAAATACATGGTCAAAGCTGTGTCCAAATAAAAAAATTGTGTAAATCTGTAAAAATGTTGAAAATATTCCAAAGTCGTATAGGGAAAGCTGCTTGTTACTTGCCTTGAGTCGAGCTTTGAAATGAGAGGATTCAAGAAACGCACTGAACAAGAAAGTTCACGTTTTCTGACGCATGCTGGTCGGCTAATTCTGTAATCCTTTTGGAGTTTGACCATTTAGTGCTACTTTCAATATTAAAGGTGCATTGTGTAACTTTTCTGGTGGAGGGTCCGTCAAATGCTTTTCTCCATGGGGATGTTATTGCTTTACTTGATTTTTACTGTCTTAAAAACATGAAAAACAACAACACTTCCTGACTCTGAGTGTTGTAGTCAAGTCTGCACTAATCGAGACCAGGACAAGACCGAGACCATGGTCCATCGAAACCAAATCAAGACCATCTGTGTAATTTTCGACATTTATTTGTATTTTACAGTTATTTTGGCACATTTATATCAATGGTATTATAAATCTGTCTCCATTTATTACTCGTCGAGTGTCAAACCTCGAGACCAAGACAAGACCGAGTCAAGACAGAGTCCAAGTGCTTTTAAGACCAAGACAAGACCGAGTCCAAGCGCCTTCAAGACCAAGACGAGACCGAGTCCTAGCGCCTTCAAGACCGAGACGAGACCGAGTCCTAGCGCCTTCAAGACTGAGACGAGACCGAGTCCTAGCACCTTTAAGACTGAGGCAAGACTGAGCCCAAGCGCCTTTAAAACTGAGACAAGACCGAGTCCAAGCGCCTTCAAGACCGAGACGAGACCGAGTCCTAGCACCTTTAAGACTGAGGCAAGACTGAGCCCAAGCGCCTTTAAAACTGAGACAAGACCGAGTCCAAGCGCCTTCAAGACCGAGACAAGACCGAGTCCAAGCGCCTTCAAGACCGAGTCCAAGCACCTTCAAGACCAAGACAAGACCGAGACAAGACCGAGTCCAAGCGCCTTTAAAACCGGGACAAGACCGAATCCAAGCGCCTTCAAAACTGAGACAAGACCGAGTCCAAGCGCCTTCAAGACCGAGTCCAAGCACCTTCAAGACCAAGACAAGACCGAGACAAGACCGAGTCCAAGCGCCTTTAAAACCGAGACAAGACCGAGTCCAAGCGCCTTCAAGACCAAGACAAGCCCGAGACAAGGCCGAATCCAAGTGCCTTTAAAACCGAGACAAGACCGAGTCCAATTGCCTTTAAAACCGAGACAAGACCGAGTCCAAGCGCCTTCAAGACCAAGACAAGACCAAGTCCAAACGACCAAGACCGTAAAAAAATGGTCTTGTTTTCGAGACCGGGCTTGAGTACTACAACACTACTGATTCTCGGACAATAAAACACAAAAAATTATAATTTTTAAAAGTATTTTTATTATAGTTTGAGACCTGCTGAAAAGATTGAGTTTTATTTTTAACACATTCATAATTTGAGCTAAAAATATATATACAAATTAAAACAGCTAGACAAAGATTTGAAGCTGTAATACTTTTTCTTATTTATATTATATTTCTTTACTCTGGTATCTGTACTTTTACTTAAGTAACAAAATTGAGTACTTCTTCTGCCGCTGTCTAAATATTATAAGAAGGATTTATACATTTATCCTTCAAATCCACTTTCCCGCCCCAGTAATTCTTAACGGTATTTTAAGTTTTCTAACTCTTTCCACATGACTGTGTTATGTCACACAAGATTTACATCAACCAACAAAGACAGTGTTTGTACGGCTCTTGTCCTTAACTCTAGAAATGTGTATATAAGTGGACCTCGCTAACCCGCTAGTCGCCGCGTTACAAATAGGAAGTGAACATGGGCGAACTTCCGACTCCATCGACTTCAGTTCACTTTATATTGAAAAATGATCACCTCTCCCCCGTATTAACCGAACCAGCCTGACACCACCTCGTGACTCAATTTCATTTCTCTCCAGAGACTAGGTCAGGAATCACATTACACTAAACCCAGTGTTGGGGAGTAACAGATTACATGTACTGGAGTTATGTAATCAGAGTACAAATGAGGAGTAACTGTATTCAGCTACAGTTACTGTTTCAGTGAGTGGTAATTAGATTACAGTTACTTGTTGAAATAAATGGATTACAGGGCGGTATTTTCCTGTTTTCACATTTTGGGCTAAACCAGAACTAACCCAGAACTAAAACCAGAACTAAAACCAGGACTAAACCAGGACTAAAACCAGGACTAAACCGGAACTAAAACCGGAAAAAAAAACAGGGCTAAACCAGGTCTAAACCAGGACTAAAACCAGGACTAAACCGGAACTAAAACCGGAAAAAAAAACAGGGCTAAACCAGGACTAAACCAGAACTAAAAACCTGAACTAAAACCAGGACTAAAACCAGGACCAAACCAGGACTAAAACCAGGACTTAAACCAGGACTAAAACCAGAAGTAAAACCAGAAAATAAAACAGGTCTAAACCAGGACTAAACCAGGACTAAACCAGGACTAAAACCAGGACTAAACCGGAACTAAAACCGGAAAAAAAACTGGTCTAAACCAGGACTAAACCAGGTCTAAACCAGGACTAAAACCAGGACTAAACCAGAACTAAAACCTGAACTAAAACCAGGACTAAAACCAGGACTAAACCAGGACTAAAACCAGGACTTAAACCAGGACTAAAACCAGAAGTAAAACCAGAAAATAAAACAGGTCTAAACCAGGACTAAACCAGGACTAAACCAGGTCTAAACCAGGACTAAAACCAGGACTAAACCAGAACTAAAACCAGGACTAAAACCAGGCCTAGCCAGGACTTAACCCAGGACTAAAACCAGAAGTAAAACCAGAACAAAACCAGGACTAAAACCAGGTCTAAACCAGGACTAAAACCAGAACTAAAACCAGAACAAAACCAGGACTAAAACCAGAACTAAAACCATTACTAAACCAGGTCTAAACCAGGACTAAAACCAGAACTAAAACCAGAACTAAAACCCGAACTAAAACCATTACTAAACCAGATCTAAACCAGGACACCTAACAGTAGATGGACATAATTTCAATCAGCCGTGATCTCATATAAAAATAATTTCTCTATCAATAATATTTTTAATCGTCCGGAGGGTCGTCAAATGTCGTCTTCATGGGGGAAAGAGTTAACGAGGACTAGTAGAGCTTAAGTAGAGTTTTACTTTATATTTCTATTGAAGATGTTTTATCTGTATTGTGCTGCACTTGGGAAACTGTTTTGTTTATGAAGTGTGATATAGAAATAAAGTGGACAGGATTTGATTTAAAGGTTTAAGTTAAAACATTCACATTACTCTTTCAGTAACGTTCATGAAATAGCCGTCCGTCTGCATCAATTTTTCTTTTCTACAGGATTCGTTTTTATGCTGAAGAAGAAGAAGAAGAGATTTTGATGTTTGTGGAGGAAATTTGTGATTCTCTAATTGCTTCCTTTCAAATTGTGATTTTGATTGCGATTAATTTTGCAATCCTAAAAGCCACTTGTGTAATCAACAGTGGAACATTACTAAATAATATTAGTTTTATACTTTGACAGAGCTGCAGTAATTGTTTGAAATAATCGTAAGAACAGAATCCAAGAAGCAAACGCATTTTTATTAACATTTATTTAAATAATAAAAAGAACAATGCACTTTTCACAGTTTCTCAATGTAAAACACCACAATATCGATCTTAAATTAGACAAACTAAATTCATACTTTTTAAATCTTCTTCTTAAATTGAGATGGCAAAAAAGTGCTACAAAATGCTCGGGCCAAATCTGTAATTTAGAGTTCCAGCGTGTGAGATTTCAGACAAAAACAAACAAAAATAAATGCTCTGAATTAAAGTTTTTATTGCACTTAACTTCCTAAAACGAAATATGCATCGTAACAGAGAGCGGGCTTGCCTTTGCACAGAGTTAACACGTAAAAAAAAAAGACGAGTAGGGGCAGGGTGTGGAGGTATAAAGAACATTGGCCACGTTTACATGATGGTTTTTGTTCTGAATTAAATAGTTTGAAAATTTAAATATTCTTCGTGTTTACATGGAAATAATAATTCAGAATTGAGGTTTACACGGAAAACTCGTTAATTTGTCTTTATTTAATTCCGCTCCAACGTCTGGAGGTGGGGAAAGGTTCTGATTGGACAGAGACACGAACGTATTTACGTCGACCGGAAGAAAACACACACTTCAGCTGCGACCGGATTTTCCGTCGTCTCGGTTTGTCGTAACGGCACGGACGCAAACACGATCCAAACTTTTTCCGCGGTCGTTCCGGTGATAATTGCGCAGCGGATGGAAAATTCTCTCGTCGCGCTTTATGTCTGTCGGCTGAGGAGAAGGGAAGAGTGTCGGAGAAGTGAGTCAACGGCTGCTCTTAAGTTAAATTCCGAATAATCATTTCATTCAGAATTAAGTGTTTACATGGTCTTTTTAAAGCGGAATTCATTTTTATTCAGAATTAAATTAAAGCTCATGTAAACGTGGCAAGTGTGATCAGTTTGTAAACAGATACACGTGTCTGTAATCGGGGCAGTCGTGCGTGATGTCACCAACTACTCGAAATTACAGAGGCCACTGAAGTCGGCACGAATTTGACGAGAAAGCAGCAAATCTTTCTCCAAAATAAATAACTCGGAACAGTAGGTAACACTATTAAAACACAATACACAAAGTTTAGTAGCAAAAAAATTTATTTAGTGTTAAGTTCCTGAAATATAATAGCGCTGAAATCACTCTCTCATTTAATTTCTGGCCCACGTCTTTTTTTTTTTTTTTTAGCTATAATATTCCCGATTCAGCCCTTGACATAAATCCAGTTGTAGTCCACATGGTTCATTTTTTGTAGTTTTAATCTTCACTTCCTCCGGATCTGTGCGCCTTTGCTTCTTGTTGCTCTCTCCACGCTTTCAACACTTCGTCATCTTCTGCTTCGGCCATGGCCCTCGCCCTTATCCTCTGCCTCGTCTGCGCGATAAAACTGGAAATGTCGTCGTCTTCTTCCTCCGCGATCGCCTCTCTCCTCCTCTCCCTCGTTTCAGTTCTCCTCCTCTCCGAACTACTCGAAAAATCGCGCGAAAAATCGTCGTCGGTATCGCCAAATCGGGGCCTGTATCTCGACGCGTATCCTTCTTGTTCGTCTTCGTAATCTTGCCGTGAGTTCGGATATCCAAATTCTGAAGCTGATGCGTCCAAATCGTCGTAAAGGTCGTCAATTTCTTCTTGCGTTTTCCTCGGCGGAGGTCTCACACTCTTTAGCCAGTCATCGATGCTGGTGTTTTTCTCTTTTTCAAGCGCTGGGTTAAGATTTAAACAGCCAGATTGTCCAAAACTTCTTACTGGTTTTTCTTTTTTCTTCGCTTCTTGCAGAAACTCCTCCTCCCTTCGTTTTCGTTCCTCTGCCTCCTCCTCGTCTTCATCCTCTCCTTTTGGCTTTTTCTTTTTGTACAATGTGCTGCGTCTGTTGTCTTCCAGGATCTTCTTTTTCTCATATTTTTCCATCGTTTCGCGCATTTCCGATTTGATGTCTTTGTCGATCGCGTCCAGTTTTTTCAAATCAACCTCGTCTTGGAACAGGCTGAACAACGGCACGCTCGTGGTCGTGATTTTCTTCTTTTTCGTACCAAGACTTGATTCGTAACTCGAGCCTAAAGTCGAACCTAAAACCGACCCTTGCCCGCTCAGTCGTGACGCCCCGCTCGCTCCCGAAATCACAGAATCAGCTTTGGCGCGATTCGCTCCGAGATACGACGCTGCGCCGCTCGCTCCGCTTAACATCGATGTCTTATCAAACTCCGTTCTTTGCCCTGACAGGATGCTGGCCGCTGCTCCTCCTCCTCCTCCGTAGCTGATCTCCGAACCGGCTCTCGACGGCGGTAAACTCATCTCTGTCGTCTTTTGTTTTATCGTTTCCGTGACAACATTAGCGATCCAGTTTTGAATGCTGGCGAGGTTCACCATTGGCTCTCCGCTCGGCCCTTGCACGGTCGGAACGGGCAAGATCGGCGGGACTATCGGCGGCGCGTTCGACTGCACAGACTTCACGCTCCGAGCTTGCGACACGGACGATATATTTGACGATCTTCCGCTGATCATCGAAATGTTGTCGTCGTTATTTTGGACGCTCGGCGGCGCTGTGACTCCGGCCCAGAACGCCGACAGCGGTATCGTCCCTCCGCTAACGCAGCTCTCCGTCTCCCAACCGCACATCGACTGGCTTTCCTCCAAATTCTTCTTCGATCGCTCCAGTATCTCCTCTCGTCTTTGCCTACGTTTGGCGGCTTTCGTTGACTCCTCGCTCCGGCTAAACTCCAAAATGTCATCGTTGCCGTCGTCCAATCCTAAGCGTTTTTGTTGGCGAAGCTTCCACGATTGATACGCGGTCAAATTCACATCTTCCAGTCGCTTCTTTGGCGTTTCATCGTCGCCTTCTTCACCGTTGACAACTGTGCTTTTCTCGCCGTCTTCGCGATCTTTTTTATTCCAACCAAACTGAATTCTTTTGACCCTCCACCTCTCCAGCGGCGTCATGCTTTCTTTATTCTTCTGGCAGAAATTGTACATCGAAGTCGTATCGGACATGAGGCTCTCAATTTCATCGTCTATTCTTTTGCTTGCACCTTGTTCCTTATTTTCGTCCTTTTCTACTTTCTCTTCTTTTTTACGATATCTCGCAGCCGCTTGTTCTTCGATTTCTTTCAACCGTTGCTTCCACAAATCGGAATAACTCGAGCAGCTCGACGCGACGGACATCTCGTCTTTCTGCTTCATTCTCCGTTTTAGTTTCTCTTTCACCGATCTCACGTCTTCGCTCGTTACGCTCTCCAAATCCGCGCCCTTGGACTTCTTGTTGACCAATTTATCGTCCAGATCGTCTTCCGTATCGCTGTTTAACTGCGCTTCGAACCAGTCCGCGTTTTGGTATTTCTCGTTGCGTCTTTGCCACTCGCGTATGATGCTGTCGAGTCCTTCGTCGTCGTCAAAATCCTCCTCGTCGCCGTCTTGAGGCAAAACGAGCTTCTCTTTTACGTCGTCGTTGTTGCCTGGTTTCGGTATCAACCCGTTTCTTAACGCTTCCGCCGCGGCCGAAGACGCTAAGGACGGCACGCTGCTCATCACGCTCGCTCCGTCCTCTTCTTCGTCCATCATAATCGAATGAGCTTTAGCTTCGGCCATGCTTTGCCCGTCCTCAAACTGCTCTTCTTCTTCTTCTGTGTAGGTTTCTCCGAATATCTGCGCTCGCGTCTTGGCGTCGATAACCGAACACTGGCTCAGCGTGTCGTCGTCATCGTCGCGTTCCTCCATCAGAGTTTCGTTCAGATCTCGGAGCTGTTTGAGAAATCCTTCGTTGGGGTTGATGGGGCGTTTTTTGCGGATGGCGGTGAGGGCTTCTAAAATGGACATGTTCTGGAAGATCATGAGGTACGAGGCGACCAGGATGGCGGAACGGCTAATGCCCATCATGGAGTTCACCAGGATTTTGCCTAAAAAACAAAACAGAAAAAATATATGAGTAATTATCACAGGTTTAGTCTAACTTAAAGGTTCTGTACACATTTTTTAGGAAGTAAAAATCAGCCCTGTTTAGTCCTTCTTGGCTTATTTTGATCTTTAGTCAGTCCTGGTTTAGTCCTGATTTAGTTCTCTTTCAGTCCTAGTTTAGTCCTGATGTAGCCTTGATTGAGACCTGGGTTAGTCCTGGCATAGTTCTGGTTTAATCCTGATTTAGTCCTGGTTTAGTTTCTGATTTAGTCCTTGTTTAGTCCTAGTTTTAGTCCTGGTTTAGCCCTGCTTTAGTTTTACTTTAGTCCTGGTTTGGTTCTGTTTTAGCCCTCTTTTAGTCCATATTTAGTCCTGTTTTTAGTCCTGGTTTAGCCCTTTATTGAGTCCTGGTTTAGTCCTGGATTAGTTCCACTTTACCCAGGTTTAGTCCTTGTTTAATCCTGGTTTTAGTCCTGGTTTAGCCCTTTATTTAGCCCTGGTTTAGTCCTGGTTTAAGTCCTGGTTTAGCTCTTTATTTAGTTCTAGTTTAGCCCTGATTTAGTCTTGCTTTAGTCCTGCTTTAGTCCATGTTTAGTCCTGGTTTTCATCCTGGTTTAGCCCTATATTTAGGGCTGGTTTAGTTCATGTTTAGTCCTGGTTTAGACCTGGTTTTTGTCCTTGTTTAGCCTTTTATTTAGTCCTGGTTTATCTCTTTATTTAGTACTAGTTTAGCCCTTTATTTAGTCCTGATTTAGTCCTACTTTAGTCCTGGTTTTAGTCCTGGTTTTAGACCTGCTTTAGTCCTACTTTAGTCCTGGTTTTAGTCCTGGTTTTAGACCTGCTTTAGTCCTTTTGTCTCACCTTTATGTGTGAGCAGAGCTTCGTCCATGAACTCCGCGGTGGCTCTGAAGTGCTGCGCGATGTCGCAGTCGGGGAAATCGTCCACCTCGATGCCCATGTACTGCACCCCCATGCCGGTGTAGAAGCTGGCGCCGGTGTACACCCCGGTCCCGTGAGCCGCGTTCAGAACATGAGTGATGCCCATCCGCTTTAAACGAGCTTTGTTCACCGCCACAGACCTCAGGACGAGAAGAAGAGTCTAATTGTCGGAGTAGCAGCGTAAACATTATTTTTCAAACATTCATATTTTCTGACATGAATAATATTAATGTGTGTAACTATTATACTTTACTCTGCCAAATATAAGATGCTTGGGCTGGTGGGTCCATGTACCATTCGTTCTTTTGAATTTTAATTAAGAATGAAAAACACTAAAATGGGAAAACAGATTGTTATTTCATTATTCCATTTTAGTGTCAAACAAAAAACAAATTTCGACCTCAATTTCCAATATTTAATTTAAAGTTTAAGTCATCGTGTCTATTTTAATTTTGATATTTTATTCTCTCTGGTTTATTTGCCCCAGAACTTCTGCTGTTTGAGCCTGATTCATCAGCCGGTTTCACTTTGTAGAAACTGTCTGACCTCACAGCATTAGGATTTGTTCGATCAGTGGTAGGCAGCTACTTTTTTAAAATTTAACCAATCGCTGCTATTTGTTTGCGTCGTATGTAACGTGGCGCTAACGGGGCTAACTGGTATATTAAGTTTTTCCCAAATCCCGTAAGAAGAAGGACAATAACGTCTTTCCCCTTGATAAAATTCACCAAACATTCTCTTTGTTCCAGCTTTAAATCCTCGACCTCGGGAATCGTTGACAACACTGACTGCACGTCTTTTTGCTGATTGGCTGGTGCCCGAACTTACACTTCCGGGGTTTTTGCGAACCGTCTAGTGTATTTTGATTCCTGACCTAGTCACTGGAGAGAAATGAAATTAAGCAGAGGAACTAGATGGCGCCGGCCTGACTACTGCTGCATAGTGCTGTGTGTGAATTCAGCGTCAACACATGGATCTATAATAAAAAATATTTTTATTCTAGTTCTGTGGTGTCAACTTAACAAAAGAGAGTTTATCGCTGCTTCCTGTTTCTCGTCATGGAGCTCAACAATGACTTTCTAAGATGTGAAAGTAAACACGTAGAAAGATAAATTAAAGAACCCTGTGTTCGATTATCCTTTCAAATCAGTTTTTCGAGGAAGTTGACACGCGCGACACGCCCCTTTTCCTGGGAAGGCACGACTCGGACCTCAGTGACAGAAAAAGAACGAGCAAAGAGTCCGAGTCAGAATCCAAGATGAAGATGCCCACTCTAAATATGAAGTGTTTTCATTGTGTTTGGACACTTTGGTGGTTTAAATGACAGTTTCAGTCACTCGTATCACTGCAGTATTTTACCGCGTCCGTATCACTGCCCTTAGGTGTGGTAGTCGGTGTTGTGGTGAGGCTCTCCGAGTCAGAAACATGAAACATAATATTACGCTTCAAGCTCGGACGTGACGTTAAATCCGAGGTCCAAGTGGGAGTCGAAAGATAATCAAACACAGGGAAAGAAGACGACACAAAACGATTTTTCAGGTAAATCCTAGCAGCAGAACTAAACCAGAGAGAATAAAATATCAAAATTAAAATAGACATCGAGGCTGTTTTTTTGATTGGTGATGTTTGAAATTAACTTTAAATTAAATATCGGAAATTGAGGTCGAAATCTGTTTTTACGGAATAATGAAATAACAATCTGCTTTCCCATTTTATTATTTTTCATTCTTAATTGAAATTCAAACGAACGAATGGTACACAGACTTGGTACAAAACACTTGATCAGAGAATACTTCGACCACAGAGGAGATCAGACAGTGGGAAAATGTCGTAACTGAGCCGTGGGAAACAGTAATGCATTTTTTAAAAGAGCATAGGCCGGTCTTTGGGAAAATATCTAATCTAAAACTGAGGCTGCGTGGGCCCTTTGTGCTTCATTTATTTCGTCATGTAGGATATCTGCGGAGAATATGACATGTCGGAACAGCAAAACTAAAAAGTAATACCGTCATGTCTAAATAGAAACATCGTAGTAAAGGGATGAGACAGAGAAGTGCTTTCCAGGGACCGTTGATGACATCTGTTGCAAAGTTTACATTTCTGCCACTGATAAATCTTCACTAACTCATTCCACTCACTTCTCCGCGATGTAAATATTGGGCCAGACTTCGTCCACTGCGTTGGTCGGAGCCTCGAGCCGGTCTCCCACGAGCGCCCGCTGCAGGTCGAGGACACAGGGCGTGTTGTAGGGCGAGCGCTCGTCCGTCAGCTCCTTCACCCGCTCGTACAGATCCTCCACCATCAGCTGCTCCGCCGGCTCCAAGTACGAGTCCGGCAAAGAGAAGGTGGGAACGCCGCGAGGAGGGAGCTCTGAGGACACAAGACGGAGTTATACTAGTTTATACTGGTTTAGTTCTGGTTTAGTCCTGGTGTAGTCATAGTTTAGTCCTGATTTAGTCATGGTTTAGTCCAGGTTTAGTCCTGGTGTAGTCATAGTTTAGTCCTGATTTAGTCATGGTTTAGTCCAGGTTTAGTCCTGGTGTAGTCGTGGTTTAGTCCTGGTGTAGTCAAGGTTTAGTCCTGGTGTAGTCAAGATTTAGTCCTAATTTAGTCATGGTTTAGTTCTGGTTTAGTCCTGGTGTAGTCGTGGTTTAGTCATGGTTTAGTCCTGGTTTAGTCCTGGTGTAGTCATGGTTTAGTCCTGGTGTAGTCGTGTTTAGTCCTGGTGTAGTCAAGGTTAGTCCTGTGTAGTCCTAATTTAGTCCTAATTTAGTTTAGTTCTGGTTTAGTCCTGTGTAGTCGTGGTTAGTCATGGTTTAGTCCTGGTTTAGTCCTGGTGTAGTCATGGTTTAGTCCTGGTTTAGTCATGGTTTAGTCCTGGTGTAGTCCTGGTGTAGTCAGTTTAGTCCTGATTTAGTCCTGGTGTAGTCTGTTTAGTCCTGGTTTAGTCCTGGTTTAGTCCTGGTGTAGTCAGTTTAGTCCTGGTTTTAGTTTAGTCCTGGTTTAGTCCAGGTTTAGTCCTGGTGTAGTCATAGTTTAGTCCTGTTTAGTCCTGATTTAGTCCTGGTTTAGTCCTGGTTTAGTCGTGGTTTAGTCCTGGTGTAGTCCTAGTCCTGTAGTCTGTTTAGTCATGGTTTAGTCTGGTTTAGTCCTGGTGTAGTCAGTTTAGTCCTAGCTGGTTTAGTCCTGGTTTAGTGTTTAGTCCTTGGTAGTCCTGGTGTAGTCCATAGTTTAGTGTAGTTGGTAGTCCTGGTTTAGTCCTGGTTAGTCCTGGTTTAGGTGTTTAGTCCTGGTTTAGTCCTCCAGGTTTAGTCCTGGTGTAGTCATAGTTTAGTCCTGATTTAGTCCTGATTTAGTCCTGGTTTAGTCCTGGTGTAGCCCTGGTGTAGTCGTGGTTTAGTCCTGGTGTAGTCAAGGTTTAGTCCTAATTTAGTCCTGGTTTAGTCCTGGTGTAGTAAAGGTTTAGTCCTGGTTTAGTCATGGTTTAGTTCTGGTTTAGTCCTGGTGTAGTCATGATTTAGTCCTGGTGTAGTCATGGTTTAGTCCTGGTGTAGTCATGGTTTAGTCTTGGTTTAGTCCTGGTTTAGTTATGGTTTAGCCCTAGTTTAGCCCTGGTTTAGTCCTGGTGTAGTCGTGTTTTGGTCCCAGTTTAGTCCTGGTTTATGTCCCAATCAGCCCAAATAACAAAGAGAAATCAATAAAGCCATGCAAGAGTTTGGGTCTGAGGAGATTAAACATGTCAGACTTCAGGGTGAGCAGTTTTTATGCAGAATAAGACGCTGGTTTTGTTGCAGTTCTGAGATTTGCTAATTATGTCCTTTAAAATTGTGATTACAATAAAACACATCTCAGAGAACAATCCTAAAGACATGATGTGTTTCAGTGTGAAGCCAGGACCATCCTCATCTCATTGTCAGCAGCAGAATTTGAACCCACAACCTCAGGTCCAACATGTTTCTTTCCATCTCTGTGTTCTTTCCTCTGAGCCACACCGCAGCACAAATTAACTTTTTAATCTGTAACAGTTCATTGTCTCTGGACAGTGTGGGCCTCGTTAGTGAGACTCTAGTTGGACTCCAGGCTGCTGTGTTCACTCGAGCGCTGGAGCAGTGGAGTCAGGGGCAGACTCATGTTTCAGGTTCCTAGTTCAAAACCAAGCTGAGACAAAACCTGGTTTTAAACATTAATTATGCGATTGCAACAAAGTGAAAGTTAAGTTGTTTTGCAGTGAGGGAATCCTGAGACATGTGGCTCAGGAGGTAAAGCGCTCGACTGGAAAAGCCTCAAGTCTGGTGCAGAAGTTACAGGATCGGTTCTTGCTCCCACCAACCATAGAGGGACTAAACCCAGACTAAGCCAAACTCCAGTCTTAACTCTTTAAGTGTAAAAGAGTTAAAGTTTGACATTAAAGGCACAGATGAAGCTCTGGAGGGTGGTGGGCAGGACAGTGGAGGAGCAGGGAGAGCGTCCACCACAACAGAGACACACTGGGACCTGGAGGTCTCTGGTTCGATACCAGCTGTTCCCTGGACCAGAAATGTTCCAGGTCCTGGACTCAGACAATCGCAGGAATGACAAGACTGTCTCAAAATAGGAAGATTTTACATGAAAAAGTTGTTTTTTCTAAGTTTTTTCATAAATTTCACAATGAGCAGAGGCTTCAGTCAGAGGAGAGTGAGACATGTGAAGGGCATCAGCACAGTGTCAGAGGAGAAGTTTGAACTCACAACCTCTGTGTTTAAAGTCTCTGTTCTTAACCTTTGGACCACAGAGAAACACAATTTAATTATCTATTCTGGTTATTTTAGAGTTGAATTATAGGAGAAACGGGTCCGATTAATGTTTTATTTCACATTTGAAGCTTGTTGTTCACTTCACTGTGGCTCAGGAGGCAGAGCACTTGGTTGGTGAACTTTCAGGTTTGTTCTAGAGGTTCCAGGTTCGATTCTTTTCTCAAACTATCCTTCAGTTTGGTGCCAGTTTTTAAACTGCATCCAATTATATCTGGAGCTGTTTAAAGTTACAACAAAGTAAAGCCTGGGATTCAAACCCAGAGTCTCACATCCAGTGGGAACTCATCACAGCATCTTAACCTCTGGACCACAGCATCACACTGACCAGACTCATATTTAGAGACTTTTACTGATAGATTTGCACTGTCTAGTCTAATCTAATGTTATTATTTCACATCTGAATCCTGTCGTCTGGGTTCTCGTGGCTCAGGTGGTGGAGCGTTCCTTATGAACACTGTCTGTCTTCTTATTCAAAAGATCGATTCCTGCTCTCAAATGGACCACAGTGGGTTGTTTGGTCCAGGGCCGTGAAAAATGCAAATCCACCGGGTCCTCAATACTTTTTCAATCGTGAAATACTGTCGGACATTAAACCGATCCGAGGCACAAAAAAGGTTGGGTATCACTCTGTAAGCCAAACTACAGCCCACTTTAAAGTGTTAATGTGGAATATTTCAGTGTAAAACTTGGTAAGTGCAAGAGACAAACAACAAAGTTAACCTGAATTTGAACCCACAACCTCTGGTCTATCTCCACAGTCTGTCTTTGTGTGTCTTACCCACTGTCCCACACACAAACACACATTTGTTTTGTTTCAGTGTGACCTCTTCAATGTTCTGTAACAAGATTTTATGATGCATTAAACGGAGCAAATTCTCTAAATCAATGTGTGACCAGAGTCCGGATTTGAACTCACAACCTCAGAGCAGCAGCACTTCTAAAGCCCCGTGTTTTAACCTCTGAACCACAAACCAAGTCTTTCAATTTTAGTGTATTTTAGAATTTATTTTACATCTCAAACTCTTATTTTGAAGGTAAATTTGTGCTGCATAGTCACACACACGCGATACTTTTACATTTTATTTTGAAGTAACAGTTTCCAGAGTAAAAGTTTTCATGCTTCCTCCAACAGTTTTTACTTTAAAAATATGAAATTATTTGCGTTTCTTGCTCTTTACGTTCAAATATCATGTCTGTAAATACTTTTTAGTTTTATATTTTTTTTATTTGATCAGAATGTGCCTTTCTTCCCCAGTAACTAATTATTCAGCACGAAGAGTTTATAAAAGATTTTCACAACTTTCAGACACCACAGCCGAGTTCTGACGTCACTGTATAAAGCGAACAGCAACTAGCATGGTAATTGTGGACTTCCTGTTTCTGAGACAGTAAAACACTTCAGATCCAGACAGGACTGCGGACTAAACCAGGACTAAATATAGGGCTAGAATAGGACTAAAACAGGACTAAATCGGGACTGAACCGGGATTAAACCGGGACTAAATCAGAACTAACCCAGGACTAAAACAGGACTAAACCAGGACTGAAATAAAACTAATCCAGGATTGAACCAGGACTAAAGCAGGACTGAACCAGGACTGAACCGGGACTAAACCAGAACTAAAGCAGGACTAAACCAGGACTAAATATAGAGCTAAAACTGGACTAAACCAGGACTGAAACAAAACTAAACCAGGACTAAAGCAGAACTAAATATAAGGGTAAAACATGACTAAACCGGGACTGAACCAGGACTAAACCAGGTCAAATTAAAAAACTTAATTAAGACTAAAGTAGAGCTGAACCAGGACTGGAACAGAACTAAACCAGGACTAAATATTGGGCTAAAACCAGACTAAACCAGGACTAAACCGGGACTAAACCAGGACTGAAACAGAACTGAAACAAGACTGAAACAGGACTAAACCAGGACTAAAGCAGAACTAAATATAAGGGTAAAACATGACTAAACTGGGACTGAACCAGGACTAAACCAGGTCAAATTAAAAAACTTAACTAAGACTAAAGTAGAGCTGAACCAGGACTGGAACAGAACTAAACCAGGACTAAACCAGGACTAAATATTGGGCTAAAACCGGACTAAACCAGGACTAAACCGGGACTAAACCAGGACTGAAACAGAACTGAAACAAGACTGAAACTAAATATAAGGGTAAAACATGACTAAACCGGGACTGAACCAGGACTAAACCAGATCAAATTGAAAAACTAAACCAAGACTAAAGTAGAGCTAAACCAGGACTGAAACAGAACTAAATTTGGCCTAAAATAGTTGCAAAACATTTTAAAATCATGAAAATCATAATAGTAAAATGTAAAAGTCCTGTATTATGCAAAATTGTCAAATTATAATGTTGTTTCCTCCTGAAAAACAGACCTGGAGTTGTGGTTTTTTTTCATGTTTGAGAAACTCTTTAATTCAGTAAAAATCACACACATTTTTTTAACGTTTATTTTAGAAAATCTGTGTAACTTCACATTGTGTCACTGGGAGAATACGTCTTTTTCATTATTGTGTGAAGTCTCTAACGAGCGGAGCAGCGTGTGTGTGATCCTTGAACTTCTCTGTCCATTTAAACTGATTTAAAGCTTCTCTAAAATCCGAGCAAGAGCCACTCAGACTCATCAGACCAGATTAAGACTTTACAACGTCAAATTACACATTAAAATACAACAGAGGACTGAACCAGGACTAGACCAGGACTGGACCAGGACTAGAACCAGGACTAGACCAGGACTAGACCAGGACCAGGACTGAACCAGGACTAGACCAGGACTAGACCAGGACTGAACCAGGACTAGACCAGGACTAGACCAGGACTAGACCAGACCAGGACTGAACCAGGACTGAACCAGGACTGAACCAGGACTGAACCAGGACTAGACCAGGACTGAACCAGGACTAGACCAGGACTGAACCAGGACTAGACCAGGGACTAGACCAGGACCAGGACTGAACCAGGACTGAACCAGGACTGAACCAGGACTGAACCAGGACTGAACCAGGACCAGGACTAGACCAGGACTGAACCAGGACTAGACCAGGACTAGACCAGGACTGAACCAGGACTAAACCAGGACTGAACCAGGACTAGAACCAGGACTGAACCAGGACTAGACCAGGACTGAACCAGGACTGAACCAGGACTAAACCAGGACTGAACCAGGACTAGACCAGGACTGAACCAGGACTGAACCAGGACTAGACCAGGACTGAACAGGAAACCAGGGACAGGACTAGACCAGGACTGAACCAGGACTAACCAGGACTGAACCAGGACTAGACCAGGACTGAACCAGGACTAAACCAGGACTGAACCAGGACTGAACCAGGACTGAACCAGGACTAGACCAGGACTGAACCAGGACTGAACCAGGACTAAAACAGGACTGAACCAGGACTAAACCAGGACTGAACCAGGACTAGACCAGGACTGAACCAGGACTAAACCAGGACTGAACCAGGACTAATCCAGGACTGAACCAGGACTAAACCAGGACTGAACCAGGACTGAACCAGGACTGAACCAGGACTGAACCAGGACTGAACCAGGACTGACCAGGACTAGACCAGGACTGAACCAGGACTAAACCAGGACTGAACCAGGACTAGACCAGGACTGAACCAGGACTGAACCAGGACTGAACCAGGACTAGACCAGGACTGAACCAGGACTAGACCAGGAACCAGGACTAGACCAGGACTGAACCAGGACTAGACCAGGACTGACCAGGACTAGACCAGGACTGAACCAGGACTAGACCAGGACTAACCAGGACTAACCAGGACTGAACCAGGACTAGGAAACCAGGACTGAACCAGGACTAGAACCAGGACTGAACCAGGACTGAACCAGGACTAGACCAGGACTGAACCAGGACTAGACCAGGACTGAACCAGGACTGAGACCAGACTGAACCAGGAACCAGGACTAACCAGGACTAGACCAGGACTGAACCAGGACTAACCAGGACTGAACCAGGACTGAACCAGACTGGACTGAACCAGGACCAGGACTGAACCAGGACTAGACCAGGACTGAACCAGGACTAGACCAGGACTGACCAGGACTGAACCAGGACTGAACCAGGACTAGACCAGGACTGAACCAGGACTGAACCAGGACTAGACCAGGACTGAACCAGGACTGAACCAGGACTAGACCAGGACTGACCAGGACTCTAGACCTGACCAGAACCAGGACTAGACCAGGACTGGACTAGACCAGGACTGAACCAGGACTAAAACAGGACTAGACCAGGACTAGACCAGGACTGAACCAGGACTGGACCAGGACTAGGACCAGGACTAGACCAGGACTAAAACAGGACTGAACCAGGACTGAACCAGGACTAATCCAGGACTGAACCAGGACTAATCCAGGACTGAACCAGGACTGAACCAAGACTGAACCAGGACTGAACCAGGATTTTACCAGGATTAACCCAGGACTAGACCAGGACTGAACCATGACTAAAACAGGATTAAATCAGGACTGAACCAGGACTAAATCAAGACTAAAACAGGACTAAATCAGGACTCAACTAGGACTAAACCAAGACTAAAACAGGATTGAACCAGAACTGAACCAAGACTGAAACAACACTGAACCAAAACAAAACCAGGACTAAATCAGAACTAATCCAGGGCCAAACCGGGACCAAGGCTAAAGCAGGACTAAACCAGGGCTAAAGCAGGACTAAATTGGGTCTAATTCAGAAAATAATTAGGTCTGAAGAAGAAGGTAAATAAAGCCAGGATTAAACCAAGACTAAAAAGAGCTAAACTAAGACTAAAGCAGGACTAAACCAGGACTAAAGCAGTACCTTCATTGATGATCTTCTTGGCGGCGATGGCGGACGAGAGGTGAATTGGCTCCATGAAAATACTGTCGGCCTCAGATCCAGAAATCATCGAAAACCGAGAGTCAGACATCATCGAAAAACTGAGGAGAGAAAGAAAACCAGGACTGAACCAGAGTCTTTTAATAAGAACTAAACCAGGAGTAAACCATGTCAAAATCAGGTCTGAACAAGGACTATACCAGGACTAAACTGGGACTAAACCCATGTCTAAACCTAAACAAAACCAGGAATAACTAAAGTCTGAACTAGGTATGAACCAGGACTAAACCAGGTCTAAACCAGGACTAAACCAGGTCTAAACCAGATCTAAACAAGGACTAAACCAGGACTAAAATCAGGCCTGAATGAAGACCAAACAAAGATGAAATTAGAGTATGAACCAACCCATGTCTAAATCTAGACAAAACCAGGAATAACCAATGTCTGAAGTAGGTTTAAACCAGAACTAAACCAGGTTTAAACCAGATCTAAACAAGATCTAAACCAGGACTAAACCAGGTTTAAACCAGGTCTAAACTGGGACTAAATCCATGTCGAAACCTAGGCAAAACCAGGAATAACCAAAGGCTGAACTAGGTCTGAACTAGGCCTGAACCAGGTCTAAACCAGTTCTAAACCAGATCTAAACCAGGCCTAAACCAGGTCTAAACTAGGACTAAAATCAGGCCTGAACGAAGACCAAACAAGGACTAAATCAGAGTCTGAACTTGGTCTAAAACACGACTAAAGCATGTCTATACCAGGGTCTAAACCAGGCCTAAACCAAGTCTAAACCAGGATTAAACCAGGACTAAACCTGATCTATACCAAGACTAAACCAGGTCTAAACCAGGTTTAAACCAAGTCTAAAGCAGTACTCTTTCCTTCATCTTGAGGGTTGTTTATCTGACACGTAGCAAGGCCACACACATGAACGTACAGATGGAGGATCGGTGTTTTTCCGTCTTTTAAAATGGACCGTATTGTCACTTCGGTCATTCAGATGAAAAATACATATCACAGACAATAGTCCCACACTCTGAGATTCCGAGAACCTCCACGCCGAGGCCGGTACTCAGAGTGTCAGGCCCATTATCCGTCAGCGTCAAAGGCGACGGAAAGCACAGATCCTTTTGTTGAATTATCGCCCAAGAACCAGACGCGTCCACCATTTTCTACTCACGCTTTTATACTCTTATTTTTACGAGATGATCTGGGGACATCACCGGCTCATGGTCCAGGTCAGGGAAATGTCACCAGGATGAGTAATTTTAGAGCTTTTATGTCTCTACAATGTCCAGATATGTCAGTTCTCTGTCTGGAATGTTCCACAGTGTGACTTTAAGTAGGTCTACTGTACACTTATTCAGTTACAGGTGGTTTTACGGCTGAGAAATGCCGAGAAAAACAACATTCTGACTGTGAGCGGGGTCGCCTCTCCACAGATCTGACCTGTAACCTGGACTAAACAAAATGGGACAAAACCAAGACTAAACCAGGACTAAACCAAGACTAAACCAGGTCTTAACAAGGACTAAATGTAGGAGTTATTCAGATCAAACTAGATCTGAAACAAGAACTAAACGAAAACCAGCACTTCTATTATTTCAAGTTTCAAGATACTACAACTACTACTACAACTACTACTACTACAACAACTACTACTACTACTACTACTACTACTACTACTACTACAACTACTACTACTACTACTACTACTACTACTACTACTACTACTACAACTACTACTACTTCTACTACTACTACAACTACTACTACTACACAACACTACTACTACTTCTACTACTACTACTACTACTACTACTACTACTACTACTACTACTACTACTATACTACTACTACTACTACTACTACTACTACTACTACTACAACTACTACTACTACTACTACTACTACTACTACTACTACTACTACTACTACTACTACTACTACTACTACTACTACAACAACAACTACTACTACTACTACACTACAACAACAACTACTACTACAACAACAACTACTACTACTACAACTACTACTACAACAACAACTACTACTACAACAACAACTACTACTACAAACTACTACTACAACACACTACTACTACTACTACAACTACTACTAACAACAACAACTACTACTACAACTACTACTACAACAACAACTACTACTACAACTACTACTACAACAACAACTACTACTACAACTACTACTACAACAACTACTACTACTACTACTACTACTACTACTACTACTACTACTACTACTACTACTACTACTACTATACTACTACTACTACTACTACTACTACTACTACTACTACTACAACTACAACTACTACTACAACAACAACTACTTCTACTTCTACTACTACTACTACTACTACTACTACTATTACTACTATTACTACTACTACTGCTACTATTACTTTTACTACTAATTCCACACGAGGTTAAATGTGATTATTGTTGTTGTTTTTTGTTACCTAGGCGATGGGCAGCGCAGGTATTTGGACTGTACTTCCTGGATCTCTCTGGCCTCCTCGTCATCTTCGTCAGGGACCGTCTGATCTTTGCTCCGATTGGACGACGCCATGGCAACCGTATCCCCCTCCGCTGACGTGGAGACAACACCTGAAATTACACAAAATTAAAATAAGTAAGTACAATAAATATGTAGGAACTAAATCATGACTAAACCAGGACTAAACCAAGTTTTAACAAGGACTAAACCAGAACTAAATCAGGTCTTAACAAGGACTAAATGTAGGAATTATTCAGGTCAAACTAAGACTAAACCAGAACTAAACCAAAACTAAACCAAGACTAAACCAGGACTAAACTAAGACTAAATCAGAACTAAATCAGGATTAAACAAGAACTAAACCAGGTCTTAACAAGGACTAAATGTAGGAAATATTCAAGTCTGACCAAGACTAAACCAGGACTAAACCAAGATGTAACCAAGACTAACCCAAGACTAAACCAGGACTAATCCAAGACTAAACCAGGACTAAACCAGGTCTTAACAAGGACTAAATGTAGAGGACTAGGACTAAAACAAGAACTAAACGAAAACTAAACCAGGACTTCTGTTATTTCAAGTTTCAAGATACTACAGCTATTATTACTTCTATTTCTACTACTACTACTACTACTACTACTACTACTACAGTAAAAGAAACAATACTTTTACAAATTAAATGTAACCCATCAATTTTACTAAAATCTACATTTTCAAAATTGTACTAGATTAAATTACTTAGATACTCCTAGTAATCACAACTATTACTACTACTGCTACTATTACTTTTACTACTACTACTACTACTACTACTACTACTACTACTACTACTACTACTACTACTACTTCATTTAAAAATTGCAAGTATTAAAAAATAGATATATGGACAGTGGTAATTCCAATAACGAACTTGATTCTAGTGCCATAGTAGTAGTAGTAGTAGTAGTAGTAGTAGTAGTAGTAGTAGTAGTAGTACTGGCAGTAGCAGTAGCAGTAACAGTACTAGTAATAGCAGTAGTAGTATTTGTTGTAGTATTTGTATTTCTTCATAAATTCCCAGTGACCACGTGTTGTTTTTGTGCCGTTGAGCAGGGCAGATTTAGCTCAAGTGTCTGAGTCTATTTATATCAATGAGAACAGCTGCTGCTTTAGACTCATGACCCCGGCTCACTCCTGCCCCCTGCTGGACTCTGCCAGATGCCCTCCCGTCCTCCTCTGTCCCAGATGTTGTGAGAATGCACCTTGTGACTGATATTTAGGGTTTAGTCCTGGTTTAGTTCCAGTTTAGACCCGGTTTGGACCTGGTTTAGTAGACCGTAGTCCAAAACAAAGCCTGATTTGGTTTTGGACTTTTTACTACGAATGTGTAGTTTAAAAAACCAGCAGGGCTAAACCAAGACCAAAACAGGACTAAACCAGGACTAAAACAGGACTAAACCAGGGCCAAATCAAGAATATTCTGAACTAAACCAGGATTTAACCAGGACTAAACCAGGACTAAACCATAGCCAAATCAAGAATACTTCCAGGATTTAACTAGAACCAAACCAGGTCTAAACCAGAACTGAACCAGGACTAAACTAGGACCAAACTAGGCCTGAACCAGGACCAAACCAGGATTAAACCAGGATCAAACTAGGAGTGAATCAGTACTAAACTAGGGCCAAATCAAGAATAATCTGAACTAAACCATGATTTAACCAGGACTAAACCAGGACTAAAGTAAACCAGGACTAAACCAGGATGAAACTAGAATTGAACCAGAACCAAACCAGGACTAAACCAGGATCAAACCATGACTAAGCTAGAACTGAACCAGGCCTGAACCAGGACCGAGCAAGGACTAAATCAGGATCAAACTAGGACTGAACCAGGACTAAACCCGGACTAAACTGGGTCTATATTTCCATAAGTTTCATTTTGGGGACTGGGGTCTTTTAGATGAGTCCCAGTCCCGGTTTTTCACAAATTAAAAGTGAAAAAATCTAAATAATGACACTTGAAGCTAATTTAAAACTTGATTTAGGATCAATTTAGGTCACGATATTTTAAACCTGGATTAAACCTTCAAAAAGCAGATTTAAAATTCATTCTTACCTTTTGGAGTGTGAGGGCAGTTGAAGTCCTCGAGATATTGTCAGAACTAAACTTAGACCAGACCAGGACTTAGCCAGGATTGTAACCCGACTCCTGGGGGACTTCACAAGACTGCAGGGATCCTTCACAATAAAAGCGCACAAACAGCAGCAGTGTACTAAACAGGGAATTTCAAAATAAAAGAACATTATGAAACTGGACCAAATGAAGTCTGGTTTAGTCCTGGTTTAATACTAGTCTAGACTGGTTTTAGTTTTGCAATAAGGCTAGGTTTAGTCCTGGTTTAGTCCTGGTTTAGTCCTGGTTTAGTCCTGGTTTAGTCCTTGTTTAGTCCTGGTTTAGTCCTGGTTTAGTCCTGGTTTAGTTCTGGTTCAGTCCTAGTCCAGACTGGTTTTAATTTTGTAATAAGGCTAGGTTTAGTCCTGGTTTAGTCCTGGTTTAGTTCTGGTTCAGTCCTAGTTTATTCCTGGTTCAGTCCTCGTCTAGACTAGTTTTAGTTTTGCAATAAGACTAGGTTTAGTCCTGGTTTAGTCCTGGTTTAGTCCTGGTTTAGTCCTAGTCCAGACTGGTTTTAATTTTGTAATAAGGCTAGGTTTAGTCCTGGTTTAGTTCTGGTTCAGTCCTAGTTTATTCCTGGTTCAGTCCTCGTCTAGACTAGTTTTAGTTTTGCAATAAGACTAGGTTAGTCCTGGTTTAGTCCTAGTCTAGTCTGGTTTTAATTTGGCATTAAGGCTAGGTTTAGTCCTGGTTTAGTAATGATTTAGTCCTGGTTTAGTCTTGGTTTAGTCCTGGTTTAGTCCTAGTCTAGTCTGGTTTTAGTTTTGCAGTAAGACTAGATTTAGTCCTGGTTTAGTAATGATTTAGTCCTGGTTTAGTCTTGGTTTAGTTTGGTTTAGTCCTGGTTTAGTCCTGGTTTAGTCCTGGTTCAGTCCTGGTTTAGTCCTGGTTTAGTCCTGGTTTAGTTCTGGTTCAGTCCTAGTCCAGACTGGTTTTAATTTTGTAATAAGGCTAGGTTTAGTCCTGGTTTAGTTCTGGTTCAGTCCTAGTTTATTCCTGGTTCAGTCCTCGTCTAGACTAGTTTTAGTTTTGCAATAAGACTAGGTTAGTCCTGGTTTAGTCCTAGTCTAGTCTGGTTTTAATTTGGCATTAAGGCTAGGTTTAGTCCTGGTTTAGTAATGATTTAGTCCTGGTTTAGTCTTGGTTTAGTCCTGGTTTAGTAATGATTTAGTCCTGGTTTAGTCTTGGTTTAGTCCTGGTTTAGTCCTAGTCTAGTCTGGTTTTAGTTTTGCAGTAAGACTAGATTTAGTCCTGGTTTAGTCGTGGTTTAGTCTTGGTTTAGTCCTATGTTTAGTCTGTTTAGTCCTTGGTTTAGTTTGGTTTAGTCCTTGGTTTAGTCTTTGGTTTAGTCTTGGTTTAGTTCTTGGTTTAGTCCTGGTTTAGTCCTGGTTTAGTCTTGGTTTAGTCTTGGTTTTAGTCCTGGTTTAGTCCTAGTTAGTCTGGTTTTAGTTTTGCAGTAAGGTTTAGTCCTGGTTTAGTCTTGGTTTAGTCCTGGTTTAGTCCTGGTTTGGTCTAGTCTGGTTAGTCCTAGTTAGTTTTAGTTTTGCAGTAAGACTAGATTTAGTCCTGGTTTAGTCTTGGTTTAGTCCTGGTTTAGTCTTGGTTTAGTCTTGGTTTAGTCCTAGTCTAGTCTGGTTTTAGTTTTGCAGTAAGACTAGATTTAGTCCTGGTTTAGTTTAAAGCTGGAGTTGTGTTTCGTTTCATTCACACATGTTTCTTTATTATTAGTCTGTGTACATCTCCAAAACTCCAAATGCTCTGTTCCACCTTGTGATGTCATGAGGTGATAGTTTCCTTTTACCTTTAGTGCAGTAGACATGGGCATTTCCAGAGAGCTGAAATAACTGAAATGATTCTGGTGCAGCTGTGTGGATAATTCATGTTATTAGGCTCTTTTTTTCAGACACGTATGAAAAGAAACTCTGAAAAAAAGATCTTAATAACAGAGAAAACAGAGTAATGTGGGTCTTTATTTGTGTCTGTTTGTTTATGTGTTTGGTGAAAAACCTTCGGATGATCACAGCGGCGGTGAGGGCGGCGGTGAGGGCGGCGGTGACGGTGACGGTGACGGTGGGTTAAGAGGTTTGTTGTCATCGTGGTTTATCTGCACTTAAAGCTATTTTTACCACAACACTTCAGACATGAGACACACGCAGAACTCAACCAGGACTGAACCAGGACTAAACCAGGACTGAACCAGGACTAAACCAGGACTGAACCAGGACTGAACCAGGACTAAACCAGGACTAAACCAGGACTAAACCAAGACTAAACCAAGACTAAACCAGGGACTGAACCAGGGCTAAACCGGGACTAAACCAGGACTGAACCAGGACTGAACCAGGACTAAACCAGGACTAAACCAGGACTAAACCAGGGCTGGACCAGGACTGAACCAGGACTAAACCAGGACTAAACCAGGACTAACCAGGACTGAACCAGGACTAAACCAGGACTAAACCAGGACTAAACCAGGACTGAACCAGGACTAAACCAGGACTAAACCAGGACTAAACCAGGGCTGAACCAGGACTGAACCAGGACTAAACCAGGACTAAACCAGGACTAAACCAGGACTGAACCAGGACTGAACCAGGACTAAACCAGGACTAAACCAGGGCTGGACCAGGACTGAACCAGGACTAAACCAGGGCTGGACCAGGACTGAACCAGGACTAAACCAGGACTAAACCAGGACTGGACCAGGACTGAACCAGGACTAAACCAGGACTAAAACAGGACTAAAACAGGGCTGGACCAGGACTGAACCAGGACTAAACCAGGACTAAACCAGGACTGGACCAGGACTGAACCAGGACTAAACCAGGACTAAAACAGGACTAAAACAGGGCTGGACCAGGACTGAACCAGGACTAAACCAGGGCTGAACCAGGACTAAACCAGGGACTGAACCAGGGCTAAACCAGGACTAAACCAGGACTAAACCAGGGCTGAACCAGGACTGAACCAGGACTAAACCAGGACTGAACCAGGGCTAAACCAGGATTAAACCAGGGCTGGACCAGGATTGAACCAGGACTTGAACCAGGGCTGAACCAGGACTGAACCAGGACTGAACCAGGACTGAACCAGGACTAAACCAGGACTGAACCAGGACTGAACCAGGACTAAACTAGGGACTGAACCAGGGCTAAACCAGGTTTAAACCAGGACTGAACCAGGACTAAACTGGGACTGAATGAAGACTAAACTAGGACTAAAGCAGATTTAAACCAGGACTAAAGCAAGACTAAACCAGGACTAAACCAGGACTGAACCAGGAATAAACCAGAACTAAACCAGGACTGAACCAGGACTAAACTAAAACTAAAGCAGATCTAAACCAAGACTAAACCAGGACTAAAGCAGGACTAAACCTGAACCAGGACTAAACTAGGACTGAACCAGGACTGAACTACGACTAAACCAGGACTGAACCAGGACTAAAACCAGGACTAAAGCAGGACTGAACCAAGACTAACTAGGACTGAACCAGGACTAAATCAAGACTAAAACAGGACCAAAACAGGACTAAACCAGGAGTGAAGCAGGATTGAGCCAGAACTAAACCAAGACTGAACTAGGACTAAAGCAGATCTTAACCAGGACTCAAGAAACCAGACTTGGGCGGTTTTGTCTTTCCTCTTTTATTACATGAGAGAAGAATCAAAGTGCTTCAAAACAAAACAAAAAAAAAACACCTTGAAAAATTGAGAAAAAGGCACGAACGGCACAAAATGACAATTACCTGAACACATCCAACAGTAAAAGTCTGAATTTAAAATATTTCTAAAATTCCAAAGATACATTTTAAATATACAATTTCAGAATTTATTTTACATTATTATTATTTTTTATTTGAATTGTAAAAATATTCTATTGCGTATTGCAGAGGTTTGCCAATACTAACTATTTTTATTTTTTATTTTTTCCAGTTTTTCTCATTTATTCTATTAAAATATCTATTATACTGTTTTAAATGTTTATATTTATATCAGAATTTTTGGTAATTATAATAACAATTTTGTTAAATTTGTGATTTTTTATCAAATTTCCCAGCCCAATACATGCATCATGAATTTCTGACTTTGGGTCATCGCGCAATTCATACTGGGAAGGATTTTCCGAAAAAGTGAGCATCAAACTGCCATGTTTGTTTTCCCAGTGGGATGCGTCTATTGTCAAAGTTGATCATTTCAAGTCTTTTGAACCATATCACTTTTGTTTCTGATATTGTCATATTTTAGTTTTGGGATTCAGACATTGTAATTATGTGGTTGTTGGATCCTAACAGAGGAAAACGGGCTTCGGAAGTTTGCGAACTCCATAAATGCAAAAGGGAATCAAATGTGTGTGACTGCAAACCTCTGTTCAAACTGTTTCTCTTCCCGACAGAATTGAAAAATAGTGAAAGGTGAAGGTGATGGGCAGGACTGATCCACAGGAAGAACCAAAAAGGAAAACTTTGTCTGCCTAAGAAATCATCCTGAGTTTGCAGCGAACATTTTGTATGTGGAGCGACAACAAAGTAAAATCCTGATCCCTCGCTCAACCTTGGTTACGAATTTAAAAAGTCAACACCAAAGCGAAAGGCACCAACTGTTCACCAAGAAACACCTTCCACTGCAAAGAGACCAAGACGTGATGTTGCTGTAAAACCACAAGAACAAGAAAGTGCAGCTCAGTCTGTTTGTCTTCTGCCCGTCTCCATTAACAAACTGGATTTTGCTTTGTTGTCGCTCCACATACAAAATGTTCGCTGCAAACTCAGAATGATTTAGGCAGTCAAAGTTTTCCTTTTTGGTTCTTCCTGTGGATCAGTCCTGCCCATCGCCTTCACCTTTCACTATTTTTCAATTCCGCTGGGAAGAGAAACAGTTTGAACAGAGGTTTGCAGTCACACACATCTGATTCACTTTCGCAGTTATGGAGTTCGCAAACTTCCGAAGCCCGTTTTCTGCTGTTAGGATCCAACAACCACACAATTATGATGTCCGAATCCCAAAACTAAAATATGACAATATCAGAACCAGAAACAAAAGTGATCGACTTTGACAACAGACGCATCCCACTGGGAAAACAAACATGATTCAAGTGTCATTGTGTTTGGAGTCATTGTGGATTGGACATGCAGGGAGCTGGGAGATGCAGAGGAGCAGATGCTACTCCCTAATCCAGGCATGTCCAAACTATGGCCCATGGTCCAAATGCGGCCCTCAGACAAGTTTTTCTTGGCCTTCAGACGTCCAAGAGAATTGGCCCAAATGACCTTGCATCAATTAAAAAATAACTTTTTATTGCAAGTTTTTGAATATCTTCCTTGATCAAGCCAATATTTAAGTATCTTAGCATGAATAAAGAACTGATGGTTCATTCGAACGTGTTAAACATGCACATATTTCAATTATTCACTGTACTGAACATCAGTCTACAGCCCTCGATCGGCCTCTGCTTCGTCTGTGTTTAGATATGTGGCCCTTGATGAAAAAAGTTTGGACACCCCTGCCCTAAACCAACAAATATCAAGAGAACCTTGGTAAAATCACTGCATCTATTCAACAGTTTGGACTCAAAATCAAACATGGCGGTTTGATGCTTCACTTTTTCTAAAAATCCTTCCCAGTGTGCATTGCGCGATGTCCGGAAGTCCAAAATTTGTGATGCACGTATTGGTCCTTGTGCATAAATTATCCTTAACTTTTCATAGAATTTTAAAGTTTTCGTGACTCTTCTACTTCACTGTGTAACTTTACTGGTGGATGGTCTGTTACCTGCTTCTCTCCATGGTGATATTACCTGGAATGTTCCACAGTATGGCATTACACTTACCCCAAGTCCAGATGTTTTAGAACCTGCCCTGTACTGTCTGATTGTTTTTCATTATGTGTCTTTGGCTCCGTTCAGACTGCAGCCTGAAGTCACCCAAATCTGATTTTTTCATCCCTGTGCTCCTGTATCTGATCTTTTAACCCCCCACCAGAAAAGTTACACAGTGAATCTTTAAGTGCTGGTGGATTAAATGTGTTTCTGTTTATACTAAATCAGCAGCAGGGGTAACAGCTTTGGTCTATAGAAGAAATCTGGATCAGGTCTAAACCAGGTCTAAAGTGGGACTTCAACTTCTGTAAACCTAATTTGGAATTGTTAATTGTCCTGGTGTAGTCCTAGTCTACTGTTGTCCTGGTTTAGTCCTGGTTTAGTCCTAATCTAGTCCTAATCTAGTCCTGGTCTAGTCCTGGTTTATTCCTAGTCTAGTCCAGGTTTAGAGTATCTTCAGTCATGAGTTAAGTGCTGATCTAGTCCTGGTTTAGTCCTAATTTAGTCCTGATCTAGTCCTGGTTTAGTCCTAATTTAGTCCTGGCCTAGCCCTGATTTTGTCCTAATTTAGTCCTGATCTAGTCCTGGTTCAGTCCTGGTTTAGTCCCAATTTAGTCCTGGTCTAGTCCTAATTTAGTCCCAATTTAGTCCTGATCTAGTCCTGATTTTGTCCTAATTTAGTCCTGATCTAGTCCTGGTTTAGTCCCAATTTAGTCCTGTTCTAGTCCTGATTTAGTCGTAATTTAGTCCTGATCTAGTCCTGGTTCAGTCCTGGTTTAGTCCTGATTTAGTCCTAATTTAGTCCTGATTTTGTCCTGATCTACTCCTGATTTAGTCCTAATTTAGTCTTGATCTAGTCCTGATTTAGTCCTAATTTAGTCCTGATCTAGTCCTGGTTCAGTCCTGGTTTAGTCCCAATTTAGTCCTGGTTAAGTCCTAATTTTGTCCTGGTCTATTCCTGATTTAGTCCTAATTTAGTGCTGATCTAGTCCCGGTTCAATCCTTGTTTAGTCCTAATTTAGTCCTGGTCTAGTCCTGGTTCAGTCCTTGTTTAGTCCTAATTTAGTCCTGGTTCAGTCCTGGTTTAGTCCTAATTTAGTCCTGGTCTAGTCCTGATTTAGTCCTAATTTAGTCCTGATCTAGTCCTGATTTTGTCCTAATTTAGTCCTGATCTAGTCCTGATTTTGTCCTAATTTAGTCCTGATCTAGTCCTGGTTTAGTCCTAATTTAGTCCTGGTTTAGAGTGGATTTAGTCTTCATTTAGTCTGGATTTAGTCCTTCTTTAGACCTGGTTTGGACCTGCTTTAGTCCTCAGATCTCGTTTAGTCCTGGTTCCTCCCATGAAATAGGGTTACGTTTAGTTAAGTCCTGGTTTAGTCCTGGTTTAGACCTGGTTTGGTCCTGGTTTAGTCCTTGTTTCTTCTATAGACCTCTGCTCCGTCCTGTTACTCCAAACTCAACACATTTACCATTTCCTATTATTAAGGATTAAAGCTGCACTGTGTAACCTTTCTGGTGCTGCGTCTGTCACCTGCTCGTCTCCACGGTGATCCTGTTCTGCCCAAAATGTTCCACAGTACGACATTAACCTCGTATATCTCCGCTCGCAGGAGGAACGTCACGAGATAGACGACGTTAATCCTAAACCGCAGAACATTTCAAACAAAGCGACAGCATCTCCACGGAGACGAGCGCGACCCTCCGCTAGAAAAGTTACACGGTGGAGCTTTAAGTTGCATTTGAACGGAAAACACGAGGCAATTTCACAATAAAATACACAAAATAAAACAGGTTCTTTCAAAATAAAAGCACAGTTTTGAAGCGTCAAATCCTGAGTTCCTTAATCAGATGGAGCTGGAATGTTCCGTAGTGTCCATAGCAACAAGAATATAGAATCTGCTGAAAAGATACTAAAAAGATTTGGTCCGAAAGGTGAGGTAAGAGACTTTAAACAGAAGTCGCTGCATCATTGTCTTTCATATTTTGGGCGACACAATGTTCAAAGAATTTAAAAACAAAAGAGAAAGAAAAGTCTCCTTGGATCTGTTTGGTCCACTCCACAGACAAACTTGAAACTTAAAGGTCCTATATTACACAAAACTGACTCTTGGTGAGCTTTAAGTCGTGTTTTTATGTTGTTACTGCCTCAAAAACAGACCCGGAGTTGTGTTTTGTTCCTTAATTATCAGTCGGTCTACATCTCCAAAGCTCAAAATGCTCAAAATGTTCTAGTGTTGTAGTCAAGGCCGCACGAATCGAGACCAAAACCAGTCCAAGACCACAGGGGCCCAAGACCAGGACAAGACCAAGACCTCTGAGGGTCGAGACCGAGACAAGACCGAGACTTTTAAAAGGTGAGACCGAGATAAGACAGAGACCATGACCCATCAAGACCAAATCGAGACCAAATCGAGACCATCTTTGTAATTTTTCGACATTTATTTGTATTTTATAGTTATTTTGGCACATTTATATCAATGTTTTTATAAATCTATCTCCATTTTATCACTTGCCGGGTGTCAGACCTCGAGACTGAGACAAGACCGAGACTTTTAAAGGCCGAGACTGAGGTAAGACTGAGACCACGACTCATCAAGACCAAATCGAGACCAAATCGAGACAAAATTGAGATCATCTTTGTAATTTTCAACATTTATTTGTATTTTACTGTTATTTTGGCACAAATATATCAGAGTTTTTATAAATCTATCTCCATTTTATCACTTGTTGGGTGTCAGACCTTGAGATCAAGACGAGACTGAGTCCAAACGGTGTCGAGACCAAGACAGGACTGAGACTTTTAAAGGCTGAGACCGAGATAAGACCACGGCCCATCGAGACCAAATCGAGAACATCTTTGTAATTTTCAACATTTATTTGTGGTTATTTTGGCACATTTATATCAGAGTTTTTATAAATCTATCTTCATTTTATCACTTTTCGGGTGTCAGACCTCGAGACCGAGACACGACCGAGTCCAAACGCGGTCGAGTCCGAGACAAGACCACAGAGTTGGGGACTTGCAAGTCGTGACTATGACTCGAGTCAGACTTGAGTCACTGTTTTTAGGACTTGAGACTTGATTTGATAAAACACAAAATCATACTATGATGACGTTTCAAATCCCCTCGTATTATTGATGGTAAATAAATAAACTTCTGCTTAAAACGTCCAGTTGGTCTCCAGGCTTTTACTTCCACCCTTTCCTGGAGAAGCTGATAAATTCTCCAACAGATTCTGGTGAACGTGTGTGGAGTTTAAAATCAAAATTGAGCAGGGATTGTGCGTTAAACATGTGCGAATGAAACAAAACACAACTCCGGGTCTGTTTGTGATGAGGAAACAATATTATAACATCAGAAAATAGCGTAACATGGGAGATTTACGGTAAAAATGGCACACGCCTGACTTCACCCATTCACAAAAACATGGTCAAACCAAACAGCGATCTCATATAATAACTTTTCTGAATATATTATCTTAAGAGCTTATATTAAACTATATGGAAACATAACACTGATCTTTATAGAAGTTTAAAAAGTCCATTTCACAAACATTAAACACACAGACACAGACATAGTGTTTTAAGTTTGTTTAAAGGGCCTGTATCTGGTTTTTGTATCTGTCTGTGCAAACACGTCTTGCCCAAGTAGATATATATATATATATATATATATATATATATATATATATATATATATCGTATAAACAGCTCTTAAAGTCAAAATAAGTGTACTGTAGGGGTGTAACGATATTGACGATATCACAATATCATAGTAGTAAATTTGTCACGATATCATTGTGGTCTCGTCATGGTATTAAACTGAGTTATCCAGGATGGCGCCACCTAGTGCCTCGGCTTAATTTCATTTCTCTCCAGCGACTAGGTCAGGAATCAAAATACAATAGACGGGTCGCAAAAATCTATGACCTATGGTCATGAGCTCTGGGTAGTGACCGAAAGGACGAGATCGCGGATACAAGCGCTTGAAATGAGTTTCCTCCGCAGGGTGGCTGGGCGCTCCCTTAGAGACAGGGTGAGGAGCTCAGTCACACGGGAGGAGCTCGGAGTAGAGCCGCTGCTCCTCCACATCGAGAGGAGCCAGTTGAGGTGGCTCGGGCATCTGTTCCGGATGCCTCCTGGGCGCCTCCCTCGGGAGGTGTTCTGGGCATGTCCCCCTGGGAGGAGGCCCCGGGGAAGACCCAGGACACGCTGGAGGGACTATGTCTCTCGGCTGGCCTGGGAACGCCTCGGGGTCCCCCCGGAGGAGCTGGAGGACGTGTCTGGGGTGAAGGAAGTCTGGGAGTCCCTGCTTAGGCTGCTGCCCCCGCGACCCGGCCCCGGATAAGCGGACGAAAATGGATGGATGGATGGGTCGCAAAAATCACGAAAGTACAAGTTAGGGCATCAGCCAATCAGCGAAGACCCATACATTCTGTGTTGTCAACGATTTCTGAGATGGAGGATTTAAAGCCGGAACAAAGAGAATGTTTGGTGAATTTTATCAAGCAGAAAGACGTTATTGTCCTTCTTTGGGAAAAGCTTAATATCCCAGTTAGCCCCGTTAGCAGCGCATTACATACGTCACGACCAAATAGCAGCGATTGGTTAAATGATAAAACGTACCTGTCTATCATCGAGCAAACGAAATCTAACACTGCGAGGTCAGACGGTTTGTACGAAGTGAAACAAAGTAAAACTGGCTGATGAATCAGGCTAAAACTGAGTATCTTTAGGCAAAAATAAAAATTTTCAGTCATAGAGCATGGACTACATGGACCATAATCCTTTGCAGCTGCGCCTGTGCGCCCGTTGTGGATGCACCAGTGACTTCTTAGTCTGAGGTCTAAAAGCAGTTTGGGTTTGTTATGACACGAAATGAGAAAGGAGAAAAGGTGATGGAGAAACAACAAACAGTGTGCAGACACAATGCAGCGTGCGGTTCACCTTGGAAAATACTACAACATGAGAAGGACCTTAATAAACCGGCACGCTGAAAATATTCAAGAATGTGTTCAGAAAAACAAGTACAAAATAACAAGTACGAAATACATTGCAGAATATAAAGCGAGTGATTTGCACCATTTTCCACGGTGGACGGCTTCAGGTTTAACATGTTATAAGATAAACTGGAGCTGAAATATAAAAAGCCATCGCACTTAAGTTTTTTGTTTTTTTTATTTCCTACGAGGAGGACTCAGATATACATTGAGTAATAATGTGTTTAATGCAGCTTTGCGCAGCCTTGTTTACGTTTTACAGAAACAAAACTTACAGGCCACATGACTAATTTGCATAAGCGTTGAAAAAAACTTGTGTGCTGATTCAGTCAGCTTCAACTTCAAAGGTTTTTCAAGTTGTTCAAAATGTCTGATGGGAATGCGACAATAAATGTTTTACCAAATGATGCTCAAAGCGTTTTATAATATCCTAATATCTTGAGACTCTCCACCATATCACAATAAATATCGTACCGTGAGGTTCATACCGTGACGATATCGTATCGTGAGACTTGGATATCGTTACACCCCCAGTCTACTGTGCTAGTGTTTCAATATCTGAGAATCAGGAAGTGCACGGTTAGCATGCTAATTGTCGTTACTGTGCCTGCAAAACTCCGCTCTGGTCTCTGAAAGTCGTGAAAAGCTCTAATAAGCTCATCTCCGTGAATAATTAGGATGCTCTGAATGCATAAGGTAAATTTGGAGTAACTTTTTTAAACAAACTAATTCTGTTTTTCACATTTTTAAGACAGAAAAAATCTGGTGCAGAGACTTTAAGTGAGGAATACAGTGTTCGAAAAGGTCGTACATAAGTTCATATCTGAAATATTTTACTTTATTGAACATTT